TCTCTCTCTTTTTTTTTTTTTTTCTCTCTCTCTCTCTCTCCCGCTCCCTCTGCCGGGCCTTCTGGGTTGAAGGCCGTCCTCCTCCATCACCTGTTTGAGTGCAGGAGGGGTGGCGAGACGCCGCAACAGAAACCATTTTGGCACAGATTGGGTTCTGGCATCGGCCCTCACCTTGCACCTGCCCCTGCTCCCCCCTGCCAGCGGGACCCTGGATGCCTATGGCCATCCAATCAGAGTGGTTGAGTGGACACTGGGTTGATGACGCATAATGCTATTCTGCGGCAGTGGAGAGTTGTGCAGGCGGGGGGCATCGTAATCCGTGGCGGATCTGGTGATCCACATGAGCATGAGGGCGCTCTGGGTTGAAGGCCATCCTCATCCATCATCTTGCTCCGTCGTGCTGAAGTAGACCTGGTGGTCCGAGTATCGGCAGGGCGTTCTGGGTTGAAGGCCATCCTCTTCTATCACTTGTGTGGGTGCAGGAGGGCTGGCGAGACGCCAGGACAGAAACCATAGTGACTCAGGTTGGGTGCTGTTATCGGCCCTGTCTGTAGCCATCTCGGCTGAGGCATCTCGGCTCGGACGCGGCCGCGTGCACCCAGCCACAACACACAAACAGCATAATATTTTGCCAATGAGAGTCCCAGAAAAGTGGGGGGTAGGAAGGAAGGAGCGTGGGGGGAGGATGAGGCACGGGATGACATGAAGAGGTATGGTGAACATTTCTATTGCGGCCCTGGCCTCCTGGGATTGGGCCGGGACCCTGGATGGTATCGCGCCCTCTGGGATCTTTTAAACTAACTTCAGGAGGTCTTTAGTTTTGATCCCTGGTCCTAAAACCTCGTCCTCCTCCTCCCCCCTCTCCTCCTCCTCCTCCTCCTCCTCCTCCTCCTCCTCCTCCTCCTCCTCTTCCTCCTCCTCCTCCTCTTCCTCCTCCTCCTCCTCCTCCTCCTCCTCCACCTTCACCACCACCACCTCCACCTCCACCTCCACCGCTTCCTCCTCCTCTTCCTCTTCTTCCTCCTCCGCCTCCTCCTCCTCCCTCTCCTCCTCCTTCCTCCTCCTCCTCATGGCAGTCCCAGGTGGCCCATCGGTACCTCAACGATGGGGCGGATGGCGCCGCAAGAGGTAACCCAAAAGGGCTCGAAGAATTCAAGGCAGCTCGAGAGTGCCGTCCTATGCCTCCAGTGTGGTCTCCGTTGGAGGCTCCAGCGGGGGAGGGGATGCGGGGGAGGGAGGGGGCGACAAATATACAAAAACATCTGCTTTTGAAGAGTCTCACGCTGGGCTCCTCTTGGGGTTAGTCTTGCGAAGACACCCATGCCCCTCAGGGCTCCCAAGAGAGGCCCAAGAGGCATCAGGGAAGGTCCCCAGAGTGCTTCAATATACTCCCACGAGGGCACCCCGGACGTCCCGAGATCAGTTAACGATGGTTCCGATACTCTCCTGGCCAGCCCGAAGACTTTTTTATACCGCCCCATGGCCTCCTCACCGATTTAAAGTCCACTCCACATTCGGCCCGAAGACTCCTTAAAGCCCCCCGAGGAGACTTCCAAGAACACCCCAATCCAATCCAAGGACTATCCCGACAGGTCTCGCAAAGGCTTCTCATAAGCATCGCGACATGCACCCACCGTTGAGATGTTGCCCTGGGATGCACCCCAGATCGTTACCAAGAGAGGTCCTCGAGAGAACTGGATGGGGATGGATGGGAGACGATGTGTAGGATGACGACGACCTAGGAGGACCTGAGAAGAGGTAAATGAGGAAGAGACATCGGATGAAGAGGAAGAAATGATAAAGAGGGCGGACGGGCAGTGGGGAGACTGGCGGAAGTGGCAGGGGGGGATGGGAGAGGGAGCGCGAGAGGTAAAGGAGAGTTAGAGGGAAACGCGGTGGACGAAGCTCAGCAGGACGAGGAGGGGATGACGAAGTGCAGGAAGGGAGACGGAGGCGAAGGTGGAGGGGACCGAGAAGACCAGGAAGAAACCGACAGCGGGTATGATTTGAAGTCGCTGTTTTGTTGCTGACTCGCGGAAAGACATGTTTATATAGTGCGATCCCTTTCCGTCCTCAGTTCCGTCGGCCTCATCATCATCAACATCCTGCCGTGCCTTCTCCTGTGAGCTCGGCACGAGGGCTCCTGCTCCACCTCCTCCTGCTAGCTCGGCATGCGCATGAGGGCGACGCTCGGAGCCTCGGCGAATCTCCCGAGACTCCTTCAGAGAGCCCTCGCCGCCTCAGTTGACCGCATTCCACTGGCATTCCACGAAGCGCCTCCAGAAATGGCCAGGCAGCTCCCGGTGGCACCATACGATACGAGTTGGCCAGGCTAGAACCTAAACTTTCGTTTTTTTTTTTTTTGTTCCTTGTATGCGTGAACAAAGCGTGCGCATCCGCGAGTGCATACCATCTATCTAGATATGTATGTCAGTACCGGCATGAGACCACATTGAGGGTTTGAATGTGAGAGGACTGGCACGCATACGAAAGCGCGTAGCTACGTGATGCGTCCATGAGCATGGCCGAGGAGCGTGGATGGGAGAGCTGGCACAGCCACGGAACTAACAGGTGGGATGCCCCTCGCTTTCTGACCCCCATCTTCCTTTCGTATCCATTCTGGATCAAGCCATCTGGTAGAAGGCATGATGGGCCAGGCTTGGTTATTCAAGCAACGTGCGCCGAGTTCTTCAACACGTAGTTGGTACCAGCGCAGAAGACCACTGATCAATTGGTATTCGCCCATGTGTGAAGTTGTTCAGTGCTGCGTTCGATTGTCAGCCCCTCTTGGCGCAGCTGCATGCCACATGGCGTAGCTCAAGAGTTCGGCGGCATTATCCTTCGTGGGAACTGGCTATGGCGCCGCGTCACATCCCCTACATTGGCATTATTATGGCAACTACTCGCTCGTACATGTATGATTACGTGTAGCACATCAATTTGTAACCGCCGCGTAGGGGGTATGGCGTGACGCAGTCTCTTCACAATGGCGACACCAACTCAGAACACAGACAGAACGTCGTTTGCCTCACCAAAGTCGGCAACAAACATAATCCGTGATGCCAGCAAGCTTGTACGTTTCAGACACCTGCTTCTAATTACGCGTCGGTGCTTTGTATACACTGGCCTGTCGTGTGATTTCGCTATTGGGCCACAGTGGTATTGGTTCGTGCAGGTGAGGGGAATTGAACTCATCAACACGGTATGTCGGTGGATTGTAGCGTTGGTGCTACATTGCACAAGCACGCGCTGATGTTCTGTCGCTGGCCGCTTCTCTGGTCAGGATCTGATTGTTTCGATGTCGAGAGCATGCGCGAACATGAAAGTTCCACTTGGTCACGATTGACAGTGGAACGCTGGTACCGTGCGACCACTTGGCGCTCACAATTGCACATTCACTGTTTGGTATTACTACCAAGTTGGTTATAATCCTGATTCGTACTCCTCCTTTTCAATCGTCGGATCCTTGTGAACACTTCGCTCTTCTAGGTATGGGCCCTTCTCAAGACGTTGGCTGGCTCTTGGACCACCTCAGTTCGGCTCCCAGCTATGAAACTTCGGCCCTGTTTTTTTGAACGCGGCCTTCCAGCCCATGATGGTTTCAGATACTGTATACCTGCTTCACCTTCTTGCTCTCCCTCGTGGTCACTTGCCCGCATCCCCCATTACTCGCCTGGGATTGGATATATGGACTCCGATCCTGAGGTGCATTCCACATGTATCACACGCTCATTGCAGAATATGATGCGCGAGAGAGCGTACCCAACACTCCCGCATCTCAGTTCCGTAGCCATTTTGGCTCAAGGGCTCTCCGGCAAGACCGCGTCAGCCAGTAGTCTCCGCCCCGCGGGAGTCCAGAGCGCAAACGCCGCCAGGCCCCCGCTGTGCGCACAGGAGGCAGGATGGGCGAGCGTGGAGCCAGCTGCAACTCTCTCGGGAGGGGCCTCTGGACGTCCTGCTGCGCCGCCATCTGGGCCCTGACCATCATCGGCTGCTTCCTTGGCACCGTCGCGGTGAGGTACCTGATCGGCCCCCTCAAGGACTTCCCCGCCAGCCTCCACGAGGGCTTCTACCAGGAGCTCGGCTTCGCTGGGCTGAGGTCGGACTCGGAGAGGGTGCAGAACGCCTCCGCGGCCGCGCTCGCGGCCTGCGGTGCCTCGGTCGCGCAGTGCCCCAGCCCGCCCGGCGCCGGCACCCAGGCAGACACCTCGGCAGAGCGGGCGGAGATCCAGGGCGCCTTCAACAGCTCCCTGAGCACGATCTTCAGGGTGGCCACCGATCCCTATCTGGGCACCGAGGGCCTGAGCTCCACGGCCGAGCACCTCAGGAGCATCTCGGAGCAGCTGGACAGCCTCGACACCGCGGAGTGTGGCGTCACCAACGTCGCGTACTGCGAGATCCACGAGGCCGCCAACAGCCTCGTGGACGGGTCGCAGGAGGCTCTCGCTGCCATCGACGAGCTGATCGACTCGGAGCAGGTCCAGCGGTTCGAGGACGGCCTCGCTCTCCTGTACGTGCTGCCCTACCTGCCGCTGGTGTCCCTGCTGTTCTTCTCGTGCTTCTGGAGGAAGGACGCGGCGTGGTGCTGCTGTGGCGGATCTGCCGTTGGCTGCCTCGCCTGGGCTCTCCACTTGGCCTTCTGGTTGGCCTCGCTGATCGTCAACCTCGTGATCGTGGTCGAGGCGTGGGCCCTGAAATTCTCGCAGGACGGGATCACGATGGGCGCGCCCTTCAACGGAAATCCCACGCTCTCGGAGCTGCTGAGCCATGTCGAGAGGACCTACCCCGACTTCTGGGCCATCGTGGTGGTGCCTTTGGAGAATCCTCTGAGCAAGCTGTACGTGTCGTCCTTCGTCCTCCTGGTGGCCTGCCTCCTGCTGGGGGTCTACGGCCTCTGCCTCCCCGTGTGCCGCCCGTACACGGACAAAGGGACCGCTTGAGTGCGATGGTGTCCCACCCGAGCATCAACCAGCACAGTAAAGTCTGTGCGTGCTGCCATTGTGCATCCCCTGAGCAGGACGGTCCAGACCCTCACCGGCGCCGTCCCGCGCTTCTTTCACTCTTCAGATCCATCACGGCCTTCAGCTGGGCGCATCCATCCCTGCTTACAGCGCTGTGGGCCAGTCAATCGTGGCGAAGAAAAAAAACACTCCCGCATTTCAGTGCATGATTCTGGCAGCAGCGAAGGTCGCCGTCGGCTGCTGATCGCGCTGCCGAGCCGTAGGTCCAAACTCATTCGGTGCGGTCGCCTCCTCCTTCTCCTCTTCAACTGGCTCCTCATCCTGCTGCTACGCCTCTTCCATCGTCGGGTCGTCTGGTGCCGCAGGCGGACGTCCTGGGCGACAGCTTGCCGCCTAAGGTCGAGATTGTCGTGCGCGTGCCGCTGAGCCCTTGGCGACTGGGGCTGCGGTTGGGGACCATCGCTGGGGCCAGGAGTTGGGAGTGGGACCGTATCCAGCTGCCTGAGACAAGTCCCTTCACCGTGCCAGCCCAGCACCTTGGGTAGCGATTGACAGACAGCCGTAACGCGTGACGCCTCGTGACCGGAGGCTTGAGAGAGCCGTGGCAAGTGACACGCTCTTCCGCGCCGTGTCCATGTTGGAAATGGGCATGAGGGTGAGCATGAGATGAAAAACGATGATGATGCTGATGATGATGGTGCTGATGATGGATGAGGATGATGGTGCTGATGGTGATGGTGATGCTGCTGCTGCTGCTGATGATGATGATGATGGCGACCATGATGACGATGATGATGAGGAGGATGAGGATGGGGATGAGGATGCTGATGATGCAGATGATGAGGATGGTGATGCTGATGATGATGTTGATCATGCTGATGATGATGTTGATGATGATGATGCTGCTGCTGATGAATATGATGATGACGATTTGATGGTGATGATGCTGATGATGATGGTACAAGTAATGAGGATTATGATGCTGCTGATGATGATGTTGATGATGATGATAACGATCATCATGATGCTGATAATCATGATGATGGCGACGGTTTTGGTTTTAGTTGTGATGATTACTGTCATGATGACGATGCTGATGATGAGTAGTATGATTATGATGCTGATGATGTCGATGATGCTGCTGCTGATGATGATGCGAATGATGCCGATTCTTACGATTATGGTGACGATGATTGCAAATGATGATTCTGATGATGATGTTGACGATGATGATGATGATGATGATGATGATGATGATGATGATGATGATGATGATGATGATGATGATGATGATGATGATGATGATGATGATGATGATGATGATGATGATGATGATGATGATGATGATGGTGATGGTGATGGTGATGGTGATATGGTGATGATGATGATGCTGATGATGATGATGATGATGATGATGATGATGATGATGATGATGCTGATGATGATTATCCGTAAGGGCTTCGCCCCATGCCGCCGGCCCCCTGTCTTGGATATTGGGAGATGCAAGAGCTAAATCATGAGGTCTGGGCGCCGCCGTGAAGCAGTGTCGGGACCTGTTTGTTTTTCGACCCTGCCCCTACAGATCTGCGTCAGGGGTGCCACCGAATTTCAGAAATGTGGCAACTTCTTTGTGTTTTTGGACCCTGACCCTGCGGATCTGCTTGAGGGGGGCCGCCGAATTTCAGAAATGCGGCAAATCCTCTGTGTTTTTGGACCCTGACCCTGCGGATCTGCTTGAGGGGGGCCGCCGAATTTCAGAAATGCGGCAAATCCTCTGTGTTTTTGGACCCTGACCCTGCGGATCTGCTTGAGGGGGGCCGCCGAATTTCAGAAATGCGGCAAATCCTCTGTGTTTTTGGACCCTGACCCTGCGGATCTGCTTGAGGGGGGCCGCCGAATTTTAGACATGTGGCAGAACCCGTGTGTTTTTGCACCCTGACCCTGCCGATCTGCGTGAGGGGTGCCACCGAATGTAAGAAATGTGGCGAATCCCTGTTGTTTTTGGACCCTGACCTCGCCGATCTGCTTGAGGGTTGCCAGCAAATTTCAGAAATGTGGCAAATCCTTTGTGTTTTTGGAACCTGACCCTGTGGATCTGCTTGAGGGTGCCAGCAATTTTCAGAAATGTGGCAAATCCCTTTTGTTTTTGGACCCTGACCCCGCCGATCTGCGTGAGGGGTGCCACCAGACTTTAGAACTGTGGCAAATCGCTTGTGTTTTTGGACCCTGACCCCGCCGGTCTGCATGAGGGGTGTAAATTTTTACCCACCCCAGCAATTCAGAGCATACGCTCAGGGCGTGGTAAAAATGCCCGTTTCGGGCCTCCCCCCCTCGCGCGGTCCATCAACAAGGAGCAGTGAGCAGCAAGAAGTCAACAAGGAACAGTGAGCAGCAAGAAGCAGAACTGTAACAGTGGAAACTGGAAGCTGCAGCTGGTACAGGAAACTGCGAACCTTAGGCCTACAGCCTGGTGGCCCCACAAGGGGGCCGGCGGATTATTCTGATGCTGATACTGATGATGACGATGATGATGCTGCTGCGTGTGCTCAAGCCGACGCCGTCGACGATAATGATGGTGAGGCTGATGATGCTGCTGATGATGATGATGCTGCTGCTGCTGCTGCTAATGATGATGATGATGATGATGATGATGATGATGATGATGATTATGACGATCGTGATGATGGTCATGCTGATGATGATGCTGATGATGATGACGATGATGATGATGATGATGATGATGTTGCTGACGATGATGACGCTGATGCTGCTAATGATGATAACGATGGTAATGCTGATGATGATGATGAGGATGATCATGATGCTGAGGAGGAGGATTATTATGATTAGATGAAGATGATGGTGATGCTGATGATGATGCTGATTTTGCTTGTGATGACGATGATGATGCTGCTGATGATGCTGCTGAGGATGATGATGAAGCTGATGATGTTGATGATGATGCTCATGATGATGATGATGATGATGATGATGATGATGATGATGATGATACTGACGATGTGGATGATGATGGTGATGATGCTGTTGATTAGTTTCATGATGATGTGATGAATATGATGATGCTGATGATGCTGCTGCTGATGATGATTGTCATTGTGATGATGATGCTGCTGCTGATGATGATGCTGATGATGATGCTGATGCTGATGCGGATTATGATGAGTATGATCATTATGATGATAATGATGATAATCACGAATATGACTACGATGCTGATTGTGGTGGATGAAGATGAAGCTGAGGATGAGGATGAGGATGATGAGGAGGAGGAATAATAATAATCATAATACTAATAAGAGTAATAATCATAATCGTAATACTGTTAATAATAATGCTAAGGAGAATAAGAAGAATAAGAAGACGAATAATAATAATAATACTAACAATATCAAGAATAATAAGAAGAATCAACAGAAGAAAAGGAGGAGGAGGAGGAGGACGAGAACGGCTGTCACACGCGACATCTTGAGTCTTCACTGCTTGAGAAGCTTTCATGGAGATCAATCGGGCCGTCTTGGGGCTGTTTCGTGTTCCTGTAGGGCATCATTGGCGGTCCCTTGGGCCACTTCGGGCCGTCTCTGGGTCATCTTGAGCCGTGTTGCGCCGTCTTGGGGCTGGCGGGCTGCGTCTGACGAAGGCTCACCTCAATGGTCAGTGGCACCTGGATAGGAGGAGGAGGAGGAGGAGGAAGAGGAGGAGGAGGAGGAGGAGGAGGAGGAGGGATGAGGAGGAGGAAAAGGAGGAGGAGGAGGAGGAGGAGATGATGAGGAGGAGGAGTATCATGATGATGATGATGATGATGATGATGATGATGATGATGATGGTGGTGGGGTGGTGGTGGTGGTGGTGGTGATGATGATGATGATGATGATGAAGATGATGATGATGATGATGCTGATGATGATGATGATGATGAGGAGGAGGAGGAGGAGGGAGGAGGAGGAGGAGGAGGAGGAGGAGAGGAGGAGGAGGAGGAGGAGGAGGAGGAGGAGGATGAGGAGGAGGAGGAGGAGGCACCTCAGTCCTCAAGGCTGTCGCCCCGGTGATCAGTGGTGCCTCACCTCGTTCGCGGCGCGGGCCGCCTGGCGCCCTCGGCCCTCACCGCCGGCAGGCAATCGGCGGCCTACGACGACCTCAAGCGCAGGACGATCCGGTTGATGCAGCAGGACTCCGGCGCGCCGCCGGTCCAGCGGAGTCGGAGGACGGGGAAACGACACCGCCAGCGGGGCCACCCCGGGGCGAGGAGGTTTACGATCCCCAGGGGGGGGGAAGAAACAATGTGGAGTTCCGAAACGGTGCGGTGCGGTGACAGACCGTGCGGTCACCTCGGAATCCTCGAAGGCCTCACCGCACGGTCCGTCACCGCACGGTCTTGGGACCCCGGAGGCCCCCGCCGCCCGAGACGTCATCGGAGAAAGACCCGAGTCCCAAAACCGTGCGGTGACCCCGAATCCCCACCATATGGAAAGTTGATGGGGAAGGGTTTCAATATGGGAAGCATCGGGAATCCTCGGGTTCATGCCTGTTCACGTGTGTGTCTCTGGGCCCCTTCAGATTCTGAGATGACGTCTTGGAGATTTCGGCGAGCTGCGTTAGCCAACCTGACTGGTCTGCGCCACGCCCGGTGGCAAAGATCCACTGTGCTCCAGCTGTGCGCAAGGGGTCGGGTGAGGCGGCGAGGATGTAGGTCGGCCACGCGCAGAGGGGGGTAGGGGGAGGGGAGAAAGCCTCTTAGAAGCACCCCTGCTTCTCAGAAGGCGCGGGCCTTGCCTGTAGATGTAGGGCCGGCGCTTTCGTAAGAAGCAGCCTCCTTCTGATAAGCATTCCCCCCTGCCCCTGCCGGGGGGAGGGGGAGGGGGTAGGGGGAGGGGAGAAGGCCTTTTAGAAGCACCCCTGCTTCTCAGAAGGCGCGGGCCTTGTCTGTAGATGTAGGGCCGGTGCCTCCTTAAGAAGCAGCCTTCTTCTGAGAAGCATTCCCCCCTGCCCCCTGCCCTCCTCTGTGCGCCGCCACTGATTCTGAGAAGGCGCGGGCCTTGTCTGTAGGACCGGCGCCGTTGCGAGAAGCGGCCTCCTTCTCAGAAGCCTTCCCCCTCCCCCTATCCCCTTCGTGCGCGCATCAGGAGGGGAAAAACCACACAGACACAACTAGTCGTCGATTCTCGGGAATCGATGGAAAAAATATGGGAAGTGGGGGGCAGACGAGAACCCAGGAAATATTAGAAAAATAGGGGATCCTGGGATTTGTGCTTGTTTATTTGTGTGTCCCCCTGGGCCCCCTCAAAGTAGGGGGGATGGGGGCGACGAGCGCGGGGGACGGGCGAGGAGGGAGGGCGGGTGCGGGACGGGCGAGGAGGGAGGGCGACGAGCGCGGGGGGACGGGCGAGGAGGGAGGGGGGGGCGTGAGCGTGGGCGAGCGGGCCGAGTCGGGAGTCCGGGCAACGGCCTGGGCGAAGATCGCTTCTGGCCTGGCGTCGTCCTCCGGAGGGCGGGCTTCGGAGGGCCCGCCCGCACCCACCGGCCGAGCTGTCCCTGTCCCTGACGCTCTGACGCGCGCCTCTCCTTGTCTTCTGACGCGTCTTCTCCTCGTCCTCCCCCTTTCTCCCCCGGACGCTGCTCCTCCTCTTTCCCTCTTGCTCCCTCCTTCTTTCTCCTTCTTTCTCCTTCTCCCTCCTTCTCCCTCCGTCTCCCCTGTTCTCTTTCTTCCCCCTGTCTCCCCTCTTTCTCCCTCCGACGCTGCTTCTCCTCATTTTCCCCGTCTTCCTCCTGGCCCAGGCGGCCCTGGGCCTGACCAGGATCGGCGCAGGTGTCTTGCCGGCGTCCTCCTGGGCCTCGCCCCCCCCCTCCCTTCTCCTTCCCCCCTTTCTGCTGCTCCTTCCCCCCTCCTGGGAGGTCGGGGCGTCGGGAAGGGCCTGGGCACACGCTGGCACGCGGGTCCTCCTTCCCTCCCGCGCTCTCCCCGCGCCTCTCCCCGAGAGCGGTCCCATCCGATCCCCGGGCTGGCGCTGCGGGGCTGCCCACCGCCCACCAAGCCACCCCAGTCCAGCCCGAAGGCCCCGATCTGCCCTCCATTCCCAGCGGGGGGGGGGCGGCGGGGAGCATTGAAAAAGCACGGGTGGAACCCGCGCGTCCCCCAACCCGAAACTCGGGTCTTCGGGTTAGGTTGGGGTGGTCTGGCAGGTGGTCAGCTGCTGTCGGCCTCCTGCCGGGCCCTGCAGCTCTCCATTGTATTTATAAGGGAATGGAATGGAGGAAGGGGAGGAGGAGGAGGAGGAGGAGGAGGAGGAGGAGGAGGAGGAGGAGGAGGAGGAGGACGAGGACGAGGAGGAGGAGGAGGACGAGGAGGAGGAGGAGGACGAGGAGGAGGAGGAGGAGGAGGAGGAGGAGGAGGAGGACCAGTGTAAACCCAAGAGTCATCAACGATGCTGGAGTAAGCCCTCCCTCCAAGCTCCCTCTCCATAGGCCCCTACAACAGTTCATTTCCATTGATGGAACGGCCTCGTTGGAAGACGCCCGTTTGAAGATCTTGAAGCATGCCAAAACATTGTTCTCGGGATTCCAACGCCACAGATCAATCTGACTGTTGCGTCTTGACGATCCTGAATCATGCCAGAAAGCCATTCCTAGGATTTCAACTCAGAGATCCAATATAAACGTTGCACCCGCATAATCATGAATCTTTCCACAACACCATTGCTGGTACGTTGATGATGGGAATCCGTGAAACTCTTGAACATATTGTAGACAAATGTGCGCGGCGCTGAGGCGAGAGCCACATTTTGAAAAGGAACCGCCCTCAATCAGTGAAACTCTTACAAATGTTTAAAGCGAATGTACGCGGCGCTGAGGCAAGAGTCACATTTTGAAAACGACCCCCCCTCAATACGTGAAAATCGCTGCAAACTTTAAGACGAATGTGCGCGGCGCCAAGGCGAGAGCCACATTAAAAAAACGCCCTTCATCTGTGAAGCTGTTGCCAGTTTCTAAGTTCCAGAGTCATGAATGGTGAGGAAATCTTAGGCGAAACGCCCGTCCCGCTCTAAAATCTGGCCTCGGGCTGCGATAGGGAGACGTTACTTATAATGAAAAGGAATGGAGGAGGAGGAGGAGGAGGAGGAGGAGGAGGAGGAGGAGGAGGAGGAGGAGGAGGAGGAGGAGGAGGAGGAGGAGGAGGAGTGAGAGGAGGAGGAGGAGGAGGAGGAGGAGGAGGAGGAGGAGGAGGAGGAGGAGGAGGAGGAGGAGGAGGAGGAGGAGGAGGAGGAGGAGGAGGAGGAGGAGGAGGAGGAGGAGGAGGAGGGAGGAGGAGGAGGAGGAGGAGGAGGAGGAGGAGGAGGAGGAGGAGGAGGAGGAGGGAGGAGGAGGAGGAGGAGGAGGAGGAGGAGGAGGAGGAGGAGGAGGGAGGAGGAGGAGGAGGGGGAGGAGGCGGAGGAGGAGGAGGAGGAGGGCACCTTGGGCCAGGGGCACTTCTGAGCAGCTCCCGGCTCTTTGCCGGGCCGTGTGGGGGTGGGGGGGCGCTCCGCCCGTGGCGGCCTCTGGCGGCGGCCGCGCGCGGCTGGCGGGCAAGCAGCGGCGCTTCGTGCCCCAGGCAGCGTGCGTCCAACGACCATTGCATCGAGCAGTGGCGAGGCGTCCTGGCTTGCCCTACAGTCAACCCGCACAGTAAGGATGAGCGACTTCCCAAGGGTACCCTTGCATCCTTGCCTCTTCGGTCATCTTCGGCCCATCCTCAACCACTTTCGAAGGCCAGCCCCGATCGAAGAGCCTCGGCATGGGCGTCCAAGGCCCTTGCATCCTTACCGCGCATCCTTACTGTACGGGTTGACTGTAGATCTAGGTCTCCTAGATGGGGTCGGAGCAGATGGGGTCGGAGGATCGCGCCGCATCGCCGGCGCATCGCCGATGCGGCTCAATGTGCAGCCCGATTTGCTTCGCGTCGACGTCGCCGAGGCATCGCCGACGTCGGCGATGCATCGCCGGGCATCGCCGATGTATCGGCGATGCGGCGCCATCGTCCGACCCCGTCTACTCCGACCCCATCTAGGAGGTTTATACTAGAGGCCCACCAAGGAATGTTCTGAGACATTTAGTTGTGGTCTGCACGCGATGTTCTCAGGGCGAGGCTGTCTTGTTTTGGCACATCGGGTGTAAGTTCTGAGAACCTTGTTTTTGTTCTCAGATCATTAATGGAGGATGACGATTGATAAATGACCAGGGGTCGTGTTCACGCGGCGGCGCCCGGGATGACGATTAGAAAAACCCGCCGCGGGCTGGAAAGCAATCTTTTTAATCGTTCTCCTCCAGCCAGAAAGTTGTGCAGAAATAGCAGAAAACTATTTGTTTAATCGTTCTCTCCCATTTTTTATTAATCGTCATCCCGCATTATCGGGTTCTACGAACACGTCGTTGAGGGCCTACAGGAAAGCCGGGACGGTCGGTCCCTGCTCAAATCGCCAGTCTCATGTTTCGTTGTCGCCGTCCTCTTCGTCCGGTGGCGCCCCCTGCCCCGCCCCCTTCGTCCGCGCACGTGCCTTGGGCTTTGATGTGCTAGCTACCCTGGCGAGCGACCAGCACGACGGCCGCGGGGAGCCACGCCACCGGGGCCGAGATGTCCAGGAGGGACCCCCTTGCGCTCCTTCGCTCCTTCGTCCAGGTAGCTGCTGAGGGTCCTGGGTCCCGACGGTTTTTCGTCGGGGCCCTCAGATGCTGCCTGGTGCAGTGCTGGGTTCTGGCGGCCTGGACTCCTCTTCTGCTGGCGTCTCCCTCTCGCTCCTCCGCCCCCTTCGTCGTGGTGTTTTTGCTTCTGCTCCCGCTCCTCCTCCGCACCCTCCTTCCCCTGGCTTTTCTGCTGCTGCTGCTGCTGCTGCTGCTCCCCTTCCTCGAGGAAGTCGGCCACGGGCAGAAGGGGGGTACGGTCGGACCGAGGCATAAGATCGAGGTCGGTTCGGGGAGGGTGCCCAAATGTTCTTCGTGTTTGTTGGACGTTCTTGTGCATCCTGGGGAGGGTACCCCCCTTAGATGTTCTGTGTGTGTGTGTGTGTGTGCGTCTGTGTGTCTGTGTGTGTGTGTGTGTTTTGGCCGGTGGAGGTCTCATATTATTGAGGGGCGTTCTTTTGTCCCACGTCCGGCCGTACGGGGAGGGGAGAAGGCTTCTCAGAAGCACCCGTGCTTCTTAGAAGGCGTGTGCCTTGTGTGTAGATGCAGGGCCAGCGCCTTTGTAAGGAGCAGTCTCCTGCTGAGAAGCCATTCCTCCCTCCCCCTACCCACCTTGCGCGCGCCACCAGGAAGAGAAGAAAGAGGATTCAGGGCAGATGCAGAGTTATCACCGACAGGCTTCTCTTGGTGTTGCCTTTGTCCCTGCGCGCTCCCAGGACCTATCCTGGCTTCCTCTCTGATGATCCCGACCGCGACAATGCCTCCCTCCCCTCCCCCAAGCCCCAAACGGCGCACAAGAGAATAATTAGTGGAAGGGAATGGGACGTGTGGGCTGTGATGATGCTGATGCTGCTGATGCTGATGCTGATGCTGCTGATGCTGATGCTGATGCTGATGCTGATGCTGCTGATGATGATGATGACGATGATGATGATGATGATGATGCTGATGATGATGATGATGATGGTGGTGATAATCATGATTGTGATGATGAGGATGCTGATGAATAATACGGTGCTGGTGATGCTGATACTGATGCTGATGCTGGTGATGATGCTGCTGCTGGTGATGATGCTGCTGATGTTGATGATGATGCTGATGCTGCTGCTGATGATGATGCTGGTGGTGGTGATGATGCTGCTGCTGATGATGAGTAAGAAGATGATGGTGATGCTGATCCTGATGCTGATGGTGATGCTGGTGATGATGAGGTTGCTGGCGATGCTGATGATACTGATGATGCGGATGCTGCTGCTGATGATGAGGATGATGATGATGATGTTGATGATGATGGATGATGATGGTGATGAAGATGATGATGATGATGATGATGATGATGATGATGATGATGATGATGATGATGATGATGATGATGATGATGATGATGATGATGATGATGATGGTGAGGATGATGATGATGATGATGATGATGATGATGATGATGATGATGAGGAGGAGGAGGAGGAGGAGGAGGAGGACGACGACCAGCAGCAGCATCCGCAGCAACATTAGGGGGAGAGGGAGGAGGGAGTGGGAGGGGGCACGGGGTAAGGGTGATCGAGGAGTGAGTCAAAAGGGCGGGGCAGGCGAGACGGGAAGCCCGATGGCCACAGGATGGCGACGCAGCTTCCAGCGAGAAGGTGAACAACGCTCTGATGCACCTGCGAAAGATTGTGCTGCATCCGAGCCGCAAATGTCTAGCCGCGTCGAAATCATCACGAGGTCACGCTTCCCGCCGCCTTGCAGCAGTGTGCAAGGAGGTCTTTCTCGGGGTGGACAAGAGTGATGCTGAGAATTGTTTACGCCCTCCTGGTCACCCGAGCGATAGTTTGGGTCTCAGAGGACGGCGCGCCCATCTGTCAAGAGATGTGCATGGGGGGTGGCGCGTGCCGCTGGGCGACCCCTTTCCTCGCGCGTGAGGGGCGATCGGCAACAGTTCTGATGGTGCACAGACCCCTTGCCAGGGCCAGAAAAGCGGGGGGGAGCAGGGAGAAGGAACGCGATACAAAGGACGAAGGAGGAGACGACGTGAGGGTCATTGATATTACCCCGATGTCGCCCTCGAGGGATATCACGAGAGATGGGGCGCCCCGTCTTCCCGCACTTGCATCTTTTGGGGTGTGCCTGGCCTGGGCGCGTGCTCGCCGCTGGTCCGCGCGCGCGGCGTCTTCCCCGGGGCTCCCCAGGGAGGCGCTCCAGCGTGGCCACGAGGGGCAAGCCTTAAGTCGGGCCTGTCCCTCTACAGGGGAAAAAGTCAGAAATAGTGAAAGTGGACGATTTTTTTTACTATTTGTGAGCATTTTTTTTGCATATCTTTTCGCTATTTTTTCGTCCAGAATCCCCCTGTGGGAGGACATGCCCGACCTTCGGCAAGCCTGCCGCCGACGCCGTGTCTGCCCACCCAGGGGGCTCGCCCGGACTCACAATGACAAAAGGGGGGCCCCGAGTGAATCTAGGCTTCCTAGACGGGGTCCGAGTAGATGGGGTCGGAGGGTCACGCCGCATCGGCGATGCATCGCCGATGCGTCGCCCGTGGGGCGCGATACGGAGCCCGATTTTCTCCACGCCGACGTCGCCGATCTGCCGCTGACGTCGCCGATGTATCGGCGATGCATCGCCGATACATCGGTGACGCATTGGCGATGCGGCGCGATCCTCCGACCCCGTCTGCTCCGACCCCATCTAGGAGGCCTTCTTAGTGAAAGGGGACCTGAGTTTCCTCGCGGTTTGCGGCCTCCTGGGGCCCTCCAGCACCTCGCGACCGTCGAGAGACGATCCAGGTGTAAGTGTTTCAGTTGTCGCGGCGTGATGGCCTCTGAGCCGGAGCCCAGATGCGCGCGACATTGTATGTTGGACAATGCAGTTCGTAGTGCGTCGGCGGTCTTACATGGAGAGCCACAAGTGTAGACGACCGCTAGTGGGCATTTGATGGCACTGATGCCGCCAAAAATATGTATCGACGTGCGGTAGCCCGTCCAAGTCGTTATACCTGTGTCTGGACGTCCACTGTTCTTGACCAGAGGAAGTGAACTGCGATCTGATTTCTAGTCGGGTTCACGTTGTGCTCGAACCCCTTGGACGGCTCTTGATCTTGGAATGGTGCCAAGCCCTTTGCTCCCAGCCATCTTCTGCTGCGTGTGGCAGTGGCCGTTGAAATTCAGCCCCTTCGCGTTCTAAGCGTGCCAGCATGTAAGAAATTAACAACGGCCTGCCCTTGCAGCCACACTGTCAACCGCAGCGACAGAGTTTCTGCTATGGCGAACAAGACGTAATTTAGCATAGCGTGATCGAATCGAATGGTGCAGAATTTCAAAAGGCGGGGCTTCTTGTTGTCGATTCGTGCGCCGCCTCGGCGAAATGCCTTCACCATGCAGCTTAACTGTGCCCCGAAATTATAGTCGTGCTTATCCGTGGGGTATGGTGAAGCCTCTCAGTGGAACTGAGGGCTCGGGATAAGAACGCCCAGATGCATTGTAAGAAACCGCTGTGTAGAATTTGGGCCATGGCATTGCAAACAGTACACGTTGACTCGTAATCATGTTGCGAGTCAGGCATCCGTACCTGTTCGAAGAGTCGGGCTGGAAGATGAACGAAGACCTGTACAGGACGTCGGGGAAGATGGAGTGCCTCGATCGCATGCTGGCCAAGCTCCTCCCGTTCGGTCACAAGATCCTAATCTTCTCGCAGGCGAGCGCCCTTCACTTCACTGATACCCGATACATTTCCAATACAGTGTTGGCACGGAGGCGTTTTCCTCATTGACTTTGAGTGCAGTCGGACCGAGGTATGAGATCGAGGTCGGTTCGGGAAGGGTGTCCTGATGTTCTTCGCGTTTGTTGGGTGTTCTTGTGCACCCTGGGGGAGGCTACCCTTGGATGTTCTGTGTGTTTTGGCCGGCGGAGGGTCTCGTGTTCTTGAGGGATGTTCTTCTGGCCCAGGTCCGACCGTGCACTGAGCCTCGACATGTTTCGCAAACAGTGTTTGCACTGAGGCTATTTCATTGCCTTTTGAATACATGGCTGCCGCTTCCTTCGGTAGCAAATCATGGGAGCCTTGCATATTTTCGCAATTCCGTCTTTGGCGTCGATTGGCGTCGATTCGCGTCTGGAGTCGATGAGATAGCGCCCATTTAGCATCGGTTAGCGTCGATTAGCGTCGATTTAGCGTCGATTGGCGCCGATGTAGCATCGGTTAGCGTCGATTCGCGTCGATTTAGCGTCGATTGGCGTCGATTTGGCGTCGACTGGCGTCGATTCGCAAGAGCCGGAGGCGAGTTGCCACCGAAGCTTCCGGGTCATGACCCAGTCGCCGCCTGCGTGGGCTCCTCGTGGGCGCCCCCGTGCGGTGGCTGGGTTTTTCCCAACCATCCTGTGGTGTTGGGTCCTCGTTTTGAAGAGACGGTGCCCCGCGTCACTCCTCTCCTCTCCTCCTCCCCCTCCTCCCCCACCTCCCTGCGTTTCACCCAACCAGTACAGCGTTTCGTGGCCCCAAAGGGAGCTCCACCGAAGGCTCCAGTGGCTGCGTTCGCATGGTGGCCTCGGGCCATTTCGGCACACCCCTCACGAGGATCGTGGCCCCATAGGGAGCTCCACCGAAGGCTCCAGTGGCTGCGTTCGCATGGCGGCCTCGGGCCATTTCGGCACACCCAGTACGGCGTTTCGTGGCCCCATAGGGAGCTCCACCGAAGGCTCCAGTGGCTGCGTTCGCATGGTGGCCTCGGGCCATTTCGGCACACCCCTCACGAGGATCGTGGCCCCATAGGGAGCTCCACGGAAGGCTCCAGTGGCAGCGTTCGCATGGCGGCCTCGGGCCATTTCGGCACACCCCTCACGAGGATCGTGGCCCCATAGGGAGCTCCACCGAAGGCGCCAGTGGCAGCGTTCGCATGGCGGCCTCGGGCCATTTCGGCACACCCCTCACGAGGATCGTGGCCCCATAGGGAGCTCCACCGAAGGCTCCAGTGGCAGCGTTCGCATGGCGGCCTCGGGCCATTTCGGCACACCCCCCACGAGGATCGTGGCCCCATAGGGAGCTCCACCGAAGGCTCCAGTGGCTGCGTTCGCATGGTGGCCTCGGGCCATTTCGGCACACCCAGTACGGCGTTTCGTGGCCCCATAGGGAGCTCCACCGAAGGCTCCAGTGGCTGCGTTCGCATGGCGGCCTGGGGCCATTTCGGCACACCCCTCACGAGGATCGTGGCCTCCACCGAAGGCGCCAGTGGGGGTTCGTATGGCGGCCTCGGGCCATTTCGGCACACCCCTCACGAAGATCGTGGCCCCATACGGAGCTCCACCAATGGCGCCAGTGGAAGGGTTCGCATGGCGGCTCGGGCCATTTCGGCACACCCCTCACGAGGATCGTGGCCCCATAGGAGCTCCACCGAAGGCCCCAGTGGCAGCCTCCCTCATGGCTCTTAGAGCCCTCTCCTGCTTCTGCTCCTCGGTCAGGGGGGCGCCGTCCTCGTCGTCGTCGGCGCCCGCGAAGACGGCCACGAACGTGTCCCTGAGCATGTCGGGCTCCGGCGGGAAGTTGTGGCCACATCGGGAGCGCGGGCGAAGATGTTATTCACAATTGCGGTAGTCACAACTGCGTATGGTTGGGTCTTTCGCCAGGCTAATTTTCTCTTGGTGTCGTTCCCCTCGCGTCGGCTTCACGTAAGGGTGACCCTTCGCCGGAGTGGCCTTCGGTGCGGGCCCACCGGGGCTCCCCGATGACCGAACGCGATGCGGTAGTCGCGTTTCGCGCGCTCGTGTTCGGCCCCCCGTGGCCCCCCCAAAAGCCGCGCACCAGAGGTCACTCCTACCCAGGGTCACTCTTGCGTGAAGCCGATTGCGGAACGAGCGGTGCTGGGCACCTGCGCGGGTCGCCGCGCCGCGCAGGTCCAAAGCATTCCACATCAATGTGGCTTTACACAAACTGCACGTCAATGCAGTTCGCTCGTCTTCTTCCTCCCTCTTGCACGCCGGACAATTCGCCTTCCGTTTGCCCCGAAAAGCCACACGATGGAGCGGACTACCTCTGCCTCGCCGCCGACGGAGAAAGTCAATACAGTTAGCCGCAGTTAGCCCCACATGATTAGACATCTGTTGTTTCCTCGAAGGGAGCACTTATCAGAATTCTGTACGCGCACATTTGCTGAAAGCAGATGAACGGCGCTCAAACACTATCGCTGGGCGGCCGTCCGCGGGCGTATCCGCGTGCGCACGTCGGAATCCTTTCGATTTTGTCAAGACCAGTTCGGCACATATGGGACCAAGAACATGCGAAAGCTCATGGTTTTCAGTACAACCATGTTAGGATTTCAGAATTTCCGAGTGCGTGCGCTCCCTCATCATCCTGGTCAGTACACCCCTCTCATCGTCAGCCTCACCATTGCCATCGTCGTCACCATCATCATGGCCATCGTCATCATCACCACTGCCGTCATCATAGTAATTGTCGATGTTGTCGCCCATGCCGATTTTCTACGCGATCCGCGATGACACTTCCTCATCATCATCTCCAGCACCATCGTCATCATCATCGCTAGCGCCATCATTGCCATCGTCATCAGAATCATCACCACCATCATGTCCACCATCAGCATCGTCGTCGTCGACATTGTTTTCCGCCATCACCAATGTAACCATCATCGGCATCAGCGTCATCACCAGTGCCACCGCCATCGTCATTGGCGTCGCGGTCTTCACCGTTGCCACCACCATCTCGCTACTTGCAGGACGGACTTGTCCGTGCGGCTGAGTTCCACGCGTCCTTTCGCTCGTTAGGATCATGGGCATCTAATTTTTGCTAGCAAGTTGCGGACGGGAGGGTGGGATGTTGGCACGGGCGTTGGAGGTGGTCAAGCGCGCATGTTGTGTTTGTCGTGACTTGCACAACATATACTGGGCCAGCTAGAATGCAACTAATAGCTGGCACCACAGCTAGCAAAACAAATCATGCACCACATCCTGCATCCCATATAATCTGTGTACATCGGTGTACATTCCACATCCAGGGTGCACGATCTTACTGTTTGGGGTCCACGCTCGTGACACATATTTGTGTGTATTCTCTGAGGGCGGTAGACTCGGGTACATGGGCTTGCCCACTCTGTCATTTCTCCATTTGAGGATGGGTTGCGGATGGGAGAGTGGAGTAGTGTAATCGGTTGGTTCTTGGGCCCCATCAGCAGTAGACGTCGAGGGTCCGATTTCGCTTCGTTTCTGATTGGTGTGTTCCAGGCTTTCTATAACCGTTTTCGTGCTGGGAACATTACGGACAAGCATAACTAAAAGCGAGAACTCCTAGAATTGAACGGTGTGCGGGCTTAGGGCAAACAGAAGCCAGAAATATCGAAGACGCCTACGGCGAATCACCGCCGCCCCCTGCCTTTGTGGAAGCGCCTATGTGGCCGAACGTTGAGGCCAGACCTGCCAAGCCATCGGACCATGTGTTCCCCGAATCGGTTTGGAAAGCCTTCGGGGAACACGTGGGCGTCTTGATGGTCATCGTCGCCGTCTTGGAGGCCTCTTGGGCGATCTTTCGGCGATCTTTGGGGGCTCTTGGGCCGTCTCGGGCCGTCGGAAGGCCGAAAAAAGGGAAATGCCCAAATCCATCAAAAACCTTGGGAAAATCAGTGATTTTGGCATCTTTTGGCCTTCCTGGAGGCCCTCTTGGGGGCCTCTTGGGCCCTTTTGGGCCAGCTTCGAGCCAACTTCGGCCATCTTGGTGGGTTCCTGGCACGTCTGACGCCGTCGGGAGCCGTTTTGGGGGCCTTTCTGGGCCAACGGGGGACCCTCTTGGGGCGCTCCAGGGCCGTCTTGGAGGCCATCTTGGGCGTCTTGGAGGCCATCTTGGGCGTGTTGGAGGCCTCTTGGGCCGTCTTGGGGCCCTCTAGGGGCCATCTTGGAGGCCACTTGGGCCATCAGGGGCTCTCTTGGGGGCCTCTTGGGCGATCTTGGGGGCTTCTTGGGCCGTCTTGAGCCGTCGGAGAGCCGAAAAGGCGCAAATGCCAAAATCCTTCAAAAACCAAGGGAAAATCAATGATTTTGGCCTCTTCGGACTCTCCTGGAGGACCTCTTGGAGGCCTCTTGGGCCGTCTGGGAGGCCTCTGGGGGGCCTCTTGGGCCGTCTTGGGCCGTCTTGGACTCTCTTGGGCCGTTTTGGAGGCCGTCTTGGACCATCTCGGGCGGACTTGGAGGCCATCTTGGGCCATCTTCGCGATTTTTTGAGGATGTCCCGAGCGAAACGGCCGTTCTTGGAGGATTTTTTGCGGTCGTTGAGCACGTTTGGGGAAATTCCGGGTGGCCGGCGGGTTCTGCCGGAGCCCACTGGGAAGTTCTTTTGGAAAAAGAACCAAAACCAAAACCTGAAACGTCCAGCACGCCGTGCACCCCTGCAAGCAGGGGGCGGCGGATCCAGCTGCATGCGGCAAGTCCCGCCACCGTGCCAGCACAGCATTCTCGGTGGTCGTTGCACGAGGAAGGCGGGAGGCCCTAACGTGCGACACCTCGAGCGGCGATAGATGCACTCACTGCGGCGACGGTTGGAGCAAGCCCAGGAAGCCGGCCGTCACATGTGACACATCGCAGGTTCTCTTGGCCTTTCCCAGGGCTCTCTGCGGCGACCGCTCGGGCAACGCCGACAGGTGTCACGTGTGACACCTCCGTTTCTAGCCCACCTTGCATTGCCGCGATTCTTTCGTGGAGCGGAGTAGTGACGGAGCGAGGGACGGGCCTGAAGACGATGCTCACGATGACGACGATTATGATACTAGTGATGCTGCTGCTGCAGATGATGATGATGATGATGATGATGATGATGCTGATGATGATGATGATGATGGTGGTGATGATGCTGTTGATGATGATGCTGCCCAGGAGTATGATGGGGATGGTGGGGATGATGACGATGCTGATGCTGATGCTGATGATGATGCTGACTATAATGATGATGATGATGATGATGCTGGTGATGGTGATGATGATGATGATGATGATGATGATGATGATGATGATGGGGATTATGGGGATGCTGATGATGCTGATGCTGATGCAGATGATGATGTTGATTATGATGGCGATGATGCTGTTCATGATGCTGATGATATGAGGATGCTGATGCTGATGATGATGCTGCAGATGCTGCTGTTGATGATTCCGCTGCTGATGATGCTGATGTTGATGCTTATGTTGATGATGTTGATGATGATGCTGATGCTGATGATGATGACGATGATGCTGGTGATGATGATGCTGCCGCTGATGCTGATGCGGATGATGATGATGATGATGATGATGATGATGATGATGCTGATGCTGATGCTGATGCTGATGCTGATGATGCTGGCGATGCTGATGCTGATTATGATGACAATGATTCTGATGATGATGGTGCTGATGGTGATGCAGATGATGCAGACGCTGACGATGCTGATGTCGATGATGATGCTGATGGTGATGCTGATGCAGCTGATTATGATGATGATGATGCTGATGATGATGATGACGATGAGCTTGATGATGTTGATAATGGCAATGAAGATGATGATGATGCTGATGATGATGATGATGATGCTGATGCTGATGCTGATGCTGATGCTGATGCTGATGATGATGCTGATGCTGATGCTGATGCTGATGCTGATGCTGATGATAATGATGATGATGATGATGATGATGATGCTGATGCTGATGATGATGATGATGATGATGATGATGATGATGATGATGATGATGATGATGATGATGATGATGATGATGATGATGATGATGCTGATGCTGATGATGCTGATGCTGGTGTGATGATGATGATGATGACGATGATGATGATGATGATGATGATGATGATGATGATGATGATGATGATGGTGATGGTGATGGTGATGGTGATGGTGATGTGATGATGATGATGATGATGATGATGATGATGTGATGATGATGATGATGATGATGTTGATGATGATGATGATGATGATGATGATGATGATGATGATGATGATGAGGATGATGAGATGAGGATGAGGATGAGGATGAGGATGAGGATGAGGATGAGGATGAGGATGAGGATGAGGATGAGGATGATGATGATGATGATGATGATGGTGATGGTGATGGTGATGGTGATGGTGATGGTGATGGTGATGGTGATGATGATGATGATGATGATGATGATGATGACGACGACGACGACGACGATGCCGATGCTGCTGATAATGCTGTTTGTGATGATGCTGGTGCTGATTCTGACGATTATGGTGATGATGAAGATGCTGACGATGACGATTGAGGGGATGATGCGGATTGTGATGATACGGGGGACTTGGAAGAGGATGATGAGGAGGAGGATGAGTAGGAGTCGGGGCCGTCTTGGGCCGTTGGTGGATTCCGCTCAAAACGGCCGTTTCGCCCGAGACATCCTCGAACAAGTGAGATGTCGAAGCCGTGTTTTGAGAAGTCTGTTGTTAAACATGAGCTCTCGCTCGATACGTCCTCGGACAAAGAGCTACTGAGCTTGCTCGCGAAATTGAGCGAATCGTTGGAAATTGTCTTTCACCAGAGGCATCTTCGAACACGTTAGGTGTGGAAGCCGTTTGATTAAGACGTGTTTCGTGAAACATAGGGCTCTCGCTAGAGACATCCTCGGAAAACTGCATTCGCACCATCTGAGCTCGAGGTCCTGTCTGGTCCGTCTCTTCCGTCCTCTCCGCCTCTGAGGTCTCCTCCGTTTCTGAGGTCTCCGTCTCCTCCGTCTCTGAGGTCTCCTCCTTCTTTGAGGTCTCTTCCATCTCTCCTCCGCCTCCTCTGTCTCCTTCTTCATCCTCCTCCTTCTCCTCTTCTCCCCTCCCTTTCCTCCTCCTCCTCCTCCTCCTCCTCCTCCTCATTCTCTTCTTCCTTCATCGCGCACGCACGCCGTATACCCCCCCACTCGTCGCCCCCATAGCACGTCTCGCACGCACGCCGTACATCCCCAGCGCCCGTCGCCCCCATAGTACTTCCCGCACCATCGCCGTACATCCCCCCGCCCGTCGCCCCCATAACACATCCCGCACGCACGCCGTACATCCCCCCCCCCGTCGCCGCCATAACATAACCATACACACACGCGCGCGCACACACGCAAACAGCTGCTCACACAAACACATAAACAGGCACGCGTACGTACACGCACGCTCGCACCAGAGTAACCACAGCAACCACAGGCAACCACTAAGCTCGGAGAAGCAACCACTAATCCCGCCCTCCGCGCGCGACGCGAGTTCTGGCGAACTCTCTGTGGCGCTTGGGGCCCCATCTCCCCCGCGCGATCCCTGGCTAGTCGTCTGGGGGCTCGCGCGGCAGCGGCAGCAGCAGCAGAGCAGGAGTGGGAGGAGGAAAATAGGCAGATGACGACGAAGAGGGGAAGGAGGAGGAGGAGGAGAAGAAGGAGGTGGAGGAAGGAGAGGAGGAGGAGGAGGAGGAGGAGGAGGAGGAGGAGGAGGAGGAGGAGGAGAAGGATGAGGAGTAGGCAAGGCCAGCGCGGCAGACCAGCACGGCAGACCAGCGCGGCACGCCAGCGAGGAGTTCTTTGGTTTGCTCAATCAGACGTTTATCTGACAAGCCTTGTGGACAAAGCGGCGCTTCCCGTTCTTGTCCGGTCAGGTTCGACAATCATTTTTCGATTAGTTCGATAAGGAGATTCGTGTTCAGTTTCATTAGATGCATGCCCAGAACTCCCAGGACGGAGAGAATGAGAGAGAGAGAGAGAGAAAACAAAAAGGAAGGGTCTCTGTGGGAGGGGGAGCGGGTAGGTATGTGTGGCAAGGTTGGCCAGCGCCAGAGCGATAAGCGCAATATAGTGCAGCAGGATTGAAACTGACAGGCGGAGTGTTCCTTCAAAATTCCGGTACCAGCCCATGCATCTATTTTGGCAGTGCCAGCGAGTCCGCGATTTTATGTACACGGTCGAGACGCATCATTTCTGCAATCTTCAAGTGTGTTTGTGTGTGTGTGTGTGTCGGCATTTGACACCAGCCTCTTGGCCCCTAGAGGGCCCGAGGAGGAGCTGGACGCTGCGCAGTCGTCCGCTCTTCATGCGCAGGCTCTGCAGGCACGCGATGGTATGGGTGCGCCCGTGGTTCACAGTGGCGAGGCTCGGCCGAACCTTGCGGAGCAGCGGTGCCTGCGAGTTTTGACATCGGGGCGGCGCGCACTTATCGGGCTCCCTCGCCAGTTGGGGGAGGCTTACATCTAAAGCCAAGCACGCCTCCCAGCAGGTCAAAGCCAAGCACGACAATTTGTTACGCAGAGTTCACCCCGCTAAGAAGAGTCTGATGATGGGGGAGGGGGAGCAGGAGGAGGAGGAGCAGGAGGAGGAGGAAGCGGAGGAAGCGGAGGAAGAGGAGGAGGAGGAGGAGGAGGAGGAGGAGGAGGAGGAGGAGGAAAAGTCTGATCATGGGGAGCCGCGGAGTGTCGCACCAAGTGCGACCCCTGCTTTCCACGGCCTGCCTGGGTGGGGTGGGAAGTGGGCGCCAGTCGTCAGCCCGCGATGCTCCGCCGACGTGACTGTCGATCATAACACTGCTCGTGGCTCGTCGCTGGATCCTTGGTAACAGCGGCACGTGCTGGCACGTATTGCTCCGACACGTGCTGTATGCGGACCATGGTGGTGGTGGCAGCAGCTGTGGTGTGTCTACTCCGAGTTTCTGAATAAGCGTCGGGGGGGGCGGCACCCCTGCCGACAGCCCCACATCGACCCCCGTCTCTGGCAGCCACCGCGCGCCGAGGGCGCTCCGACCCCCGTCGCAGCGCGACGACGAGGCGATGTTGACCCCCGTCGGGGGGGTACCCCCCCCCACGCTGGTAAGAAACCTCGAGAAATCATGATTGTGGTGGTAGTAGCTGCGGTGTGGTCAGATTACAGTTTGCCCAACCTGGGCATTGCGGGGCGTGCCCTGGTGGCTGCCCAAGCACCTGCTGTGGGTGAGCATTTCTTTTCTTTCTACTACAAGCAGGGTATACATGTTCGGGTCGGACGCGCGCATCCAAGGAGGGCATATAGTACTAGAGAGTCTCAGTGCGTCCCAAAGCACCTGCTCTTGGTGAGCATTTCTTCTCTTGCCCGCGCGGCGAAAACACCGGGCACAGTTCACTACCATGCTCGACATACTCGAGGATCCGCGCCCTTCTTTCGTCTCCCCGACGGTGCTTTTGTGTGCCTGACGAGGAGGATATGACGGGGATGTCGACAACTATGTTGGCAGCAACAACACCGACGACAGTGATGCAGGCGGTGGCAGCGGTAGACTCGGCGGCGAGCGAGGGGAGGAAGTGAGAAGGAGAAGGCCTTCTCAGAAGGCGGCGGGGCTGCTCAGAAGGCCTCCAGTCTTCCTGGGGTTTTTGTGTCTCCGGAGGAGGCTTAGACAACTTCTCAGAAGGCTGGGGGAATTCCGAGCCTTCTGAGAAGGCCTTCCTTCTCATTTCCCCCCCTCGCTCGCCGCAGATAGAAGGATGATGGGGAGGGGAAAGGGGGGGGAGAAGGAGGTGGAGGCTGGGGGGAGAGCGGCGGGGTAATTAGTGGAAAGAGAAGAGCAGGAGCCGATGCATTGGAGGGAGGGCGGTGGCTGCGGAGGGGAGAGCAGCTTCGCCGCCGCTCATAGGTATCCGCCACCGCGCCATGGGAGGTGGCTGGGGCGGGGCTGGGGGCTGGGAGTATGAGGAGGCGGGGGGGAGGCGGAGGAAGGAGGAGAAGGAGGCGGAGGAGTATCCAAGTGCGTACCTCTTAGGACCATTCTTCTCCCCCTGCTGAATGTGCTGTCGCTTCTTGCGCTTGCGCCCGCCTTCGATCATTCAACAGCTTTGGGCGGTGGCATCAGTGTGCGCAAGGGCAACAGAAGGAGGGAAAGGAGGGGGATGGGGAGGAGGAGGAGGAGGAGGAGGAGGAGGAGGAGGAGGAGGAGGAGGAGGAGGAGGAGGACCAGAGTAAACCATGCGGGGGTCATGGAGGTGGATGGTGGGGGACAGCGGAGTGGCGCCCGAAGTGGGGCCCAGAGGATACCACGCCCAGCTGGCGTTGCAACCAGTGGAGCACTTGTTGCCACAATTTCGGTCGCCCTGGTGAGATCCAACGAAGTGGTGTGTGTTAAGCGGGCCCGAACAAGACCTCGCTCTGCTGGGCGCCAGCATGCGCACACCTGTCGCAATGTGTTGCGACCCTTCAACGTCGAGTACCATGATTAAGCGTGGGGTTTATAAAACATCACGGTTGTGTGTAAATGTGTGCATATCAGAGTGAGGGGGCCGAACGGTCATTCATTGTCCCTGGGTGCGTGGCTGAAGTGGGGATCCATGGTGAGGATTCTGTTTGTTGCGATGTTTGTTTGTTGTCGTCGTCCCACCCGCGACCCACCCGCGACCCACCCCGCGACCCACCCCTCGACCCATCCCGCGACCCACCCGCGACCCACCCTGCGACCCACCCGCGACCCAGCCGCGACCTACCCACATTTGGTTTAACGAACAAAAATCGGCGCCTGCGGCGGGCTCGTTGTATAATTTGTGAAGCTTTGGCGCCTGCGGCGGGCTTCTCCAGAGTCTCGCAGGCTCCCGACGCCTCACCGCCCCCTCACTCTTATCCGCATCTGCGGAGTGCTACGGATATGTTTATTATATTCCGCCGACCCCAACAAGGAGTAAGTGTATGAGACGATCGTGGAAGTTTTATCTTGGGTCAGGAGCCTCCTGGATGAATCTGAGGGTCTCTTGGGATGCCTCTCCAGGGCCTCCTGGAGAGCTCTTGGGGGCATGTGGCAGGCTATTTAGGGCCTCGTGGGGGCCTTTTGGGGGCTATATCTTTACGCAGTATTCTTTTTGTAGCTGTGTATGCATATCCATCCATCCATCCATCCATCTATCGATCCATCCATCCATCCATCCATCTATCGATCTATCTATCCATCTATCTATCTACCTATCTATTCCTCTATCTAAATATGTGTGGATATATACACAACAATGCCAGGGGATGCGGCAAGGGCCCTCGGGACAGCTGCCTCCCCTCTCCATGGGCGGACGGGTTCCCCTGGGCCCCCAAGACCTCGCCAAGACAGCGTCTGGACGGCTGGCCACGCCGCCAGACGGTTCAGATGGCCCCAAGATGTTTTCAAAGGCTCCCAAGAGGCTCCCAAGACGCTTCTGAGACTGCCACGAGGCCCCGAGCGGCTTCCAAGAGGTCCCCAGGCGGCCAACACCTTGAAGAACCAGCGGAGCGCTGGGACGCGTTGGGCTCCGTCGTCTCCTGCGGCCGTTGTTCGTTTCCGTGCCTGCGTGCGTGGGGAGGAACTGCGACGCCCTCATTCGGCGTACACCGAAGCAGCGCTTACCACCCGAGCGATATCGAGGGCCGAATATTGTGGCGCACGTGTGACTAGAATCGAATCGCGCGATGTGCGCGCGTCCATCTAGTGTATGTACATGTGTAAATGTATATACACATTTACACATCGAATTGTATACGCAATTGATACGCAAACTCACGTTTAAAAACAGTGCCTGTGGCTCAGGCTTCAAGGCGAAACCGTCCACCCCCCTCTAGCCTTGTGGCTACGGAAGGGCAGGAAGGCGAAGCAGCCGAGCATGCCACAGCGCTCAGTGGCATCACTTCTGTGCTGGGTGCTTGCTCTCACACCATTGTTATTGCGCCAAAATCGCAAAGCGGATTTCGTTCGGAAACGACAGGGTGGGCCCAGAGTGTCCTGGAGAATTTCGTTCCGGATTTCGAGGTGAATATCGTGCGGATTTTTTTTGACCAGGAATGAAGACCAAAAAGAATCCACGCGAAATTCACTTCGTTTTTCGCTCGCCGCTTCGGGCAAGAATCGACGCAGAAATCCACGCAGAAATCCGCTGCAGCACGTCTGCGAGGCCGGTGCAATGACCCGTGCTGCACTACTGCTTATACGCTGCTGCACTACCGCCGCCAGTCCTTCCCCCTAACTTCAAGTTTGCTTTTTCGGTGCGTTTTCGGGGCGCCTGGAGCCCCCCCCCGCGGCGGGGCTTGGAATACACTCCCGTGTGAAAAGCACATGAAAATAACTGTGCCATTCTTCATTCGGGCGCTTTTCGGCACGATTATCTTCCCCGGGACCTTCGTGCCTAAATTTGCGAGTCCAGACGTCATGTCTCGCTGATGGATCCTTTTCTCCTCCTCGCCCCCTCCCCTTTCCCTCCACCCTTCTCACCCCCCATCCCCTCCATCCCCCTCCCCCTCCCCCTCCCCCTCCCCCTCCCTCTCCCCCTTTTCCTCAGCCTCCTCCTCTTCCGGCCCCTTCTCCTCTTCCTCCTCCTTCTCCTCCTCCTTCTTCGCCTCCTCCTCCTCCTCCTCCTCTTCCTCCTCCTCTTCCCCCTCCTCCTCCTCCTCCTCCTCCTCCATGTCTTGCCCCCCCCCCATCCGCGCGGGCCTCTCCGCGATGGCCTCTCCAGTGGCGCGCCGTCCGCCCGCTGTGCATCCCTCCCGCCCCGTGCCCCGCCGTCGCAGTCGTCCCTGCCGTCTCCGTCGTCGCCGCCGTCGTCGCCGCCGTCGCCGCCGTCGCCGTCGTTGTCGTCGTCGCCGCCGTCGTCGTCGTCGTCGTCGTCGTCGTCGTCGTCGTCGTCGTCGTCGTCGTCGTCGTCGTCGTCGCCGTCGCCGTCGCCGTCGCCGTCGCCGTCGCCGTCGCCGTCGCCGTCGCCGTCGCCGTCGCCGTCGCCGTCGCCGTCGCCGTCGCCGTCGTCGGTTGCCGTCGCCGTCGCCGTCGTCGGTTGCAGGGGGAAGGCCCCCACCAGTTCGTTGTCGTCGCCGCCGTCGTCGGCGCCGCCGCTCCGAGGCGGGGACTTATCCATATAGCCACCGCCTGGGGGATCGATCTTCGCAGACCTTCACAGGCGGTGGACATGGGTATCTTAGGCCCCCCCGGGGCCCACATGCGTCCATGTCCGCCACCCGCTGGGGCACCAGAATGTGGGTTCCCAGGCGACGAGGAGGAGGACGAGGAGGAGGAGGAGGAGGAGGAGGAGGAGGAGGAGGAGGAGGAGGAGGAGGAGGAGGAGCAGCAGCCACCGCGGCGGGGCGCGCGGGGAGGACTTCCTCCACTGGCGCGGCATCGCCGCGGTTCGGCTCGACGGCCAGACGCCGCACGCGGAGCGGCAGGACCTCAGGGCCGGGGGTGGGGAGTCGCGAGGGGTGGCGGAGGGGCCCGCACCAGGGGAGGGGGCCCCGAGCCCTGACCTTCCAGAGTGCTGTGAAATAGCCCTCCAGATCTATATACTTATCTGGACCGCTCAAAACCTCGAGAGGGATGGAGACGCCAAGGTCCTGGTGCTGTTTGTTAGCCCTCGTGGAAGAGCAGGGAGGAAGAGAGGGGGGCCCGAGGTCGCTCGCCGCTCTGGGCCCTCCGGGGCCCGGCCTGGGCCGCGGGGCCGCCAACAGAACACGACGGATCGGCGGCGAGCGGTGGGGGGGGAAGCGAGACGAAGAGGTCCATCGTAGATTGCCGCCGGGCTTCTCAGAAGCCCTCCGGCCTTCCGAGAAGTCGTCCGTGTCTTCGGGGAAGGCGCAGAAGACTTCCCGGAAGGCCGGGGGACGTGCGCGCCTTCTGAGAAGGCCCACCCCTTCCCGATTCCCCCCAGGGCTGGCCGCCGAGGTGAGAGACTGCTCCAGGAGGGGGGACGTCCTGGTCCAGGGCCCGTTTTACCCTGGGCCGTTTTCCCTACTTCCCCTCCCTCTTGTCCTTGTCGTCGTCGTCCTCCTCCTCTTCCTCCTCCTCCTCCTGCTCCTCCTCCTCCTCCTCCTCCTCCTCCTCCTGCTCCTTCTTCCTCGATGTGTGGAGATCGCGGGATGTCCGGGCAATCTCATCTACGAGGGTTGGGCTCCGTTTGCAATCCCTTCTTCCTCACCCAGAAACGCAGAGAGTTCCGTGACAGGTTGAATCGGGGCCTTGGGCCCAATGGTTTAAACTGTGAGTAAGCTCTGATTCGACTTCGTCTGTGATTCTGTTCCTGCTCCTCCTTCTCTCCTCCCCGTCATTCTGTTTTTTGCTCCTCGTCATCACTGCCCTCCTCCTCCTCTGATCTGCCTCTTCCTCTCCCTCCCCATCCTCGTCCTGCTCTTCCTCACCCTCCTCCTTCTCAATGTCGTTTTGGCGCAGTCCCAGGCAGGCAAGCAGTCACGATGCGCAGTGATGTCACATGTATATTCATTGCACAGGCCTTGCGGCCGGTTCCGCCGACCAGGACCAGTCGGCGCAAGAGGCGGGATGGGGACAGGGGCAGGGGGCAGTGGCGGCTTTTAGGCGACGACGACAGTGTAACGATTCTCGGCCCATCCCAGCACTGTGCTGGGGTCGTGCTCCAGAGGCCTTGTGTGGGGGGATCCAGGGAGGCTTCTCGTGCTTTGGGGGACCGCCTTGGGGGCATTTTGGGCATTTTTCGGTTGGTTTGCAGTCGGGCATGTCCCTTTACAGGAGGAAAATTCAAAAATAGCCAAATTATAGTCCAGGGGCGATTTGCCGAATATTTTTGAATATTGGTTTGAGTATTTTGCATTGTTCTTCCAAAACCCGCCTGTAGGAGGACATGCCCGACCTGAGGCTGGTTTTGGGATTTGGGCCGTCTTGGAAGCACTTGCGACCGATGCGGCGAGAGTGTCAGATCACACAACAGTCTAGGGAATTCGGCCGATTCGAACCTCTTGAGACGGCCCTTGAAACCAGGGACAAGACGGCCCGCGAGCCCGCCAAGCTCCCAAGATATGAGGTTGGCCCCGAGAGGTAGCCAAACTGCCAGATAGGCCCCAAGATCGCCCTCACCCGGGAGGGGGATGCAGGGAGTTGCACATGCCGGGACCCTTCGCGTGCCTCCACCCCCCCTTCGGGCCCCCCCCTGGGACCCCTACTCCTCCCGCCCCCCCCCCCTCTAGACAGGAACGGATCAAAGGGAAGGGGCCTCCTTTCGACTCGATCGAGGCTTGGGTCGATTCTTCTCGGGCTGGCGAGCTTGGAGAGCCCCAGGTGTCCGCCGGGCAAGGGGGAGAGCTTCGAATGGACAAGCGTCCCCCAGGACCTCCCTCCAGGACTCACCCGCACATGCCGACAGGTCCAGCTTGTTTGTGTGAAATTAATTGTGCCTCGGTTATCCCCATCAGCTCATCCAGAGGCTATTCCTAGGCGAGTTGCAAGGTAGATGGAGGATCACCACTGAGCCAAACAGGAGAGACGCCATTCAAACGAACGGAGGTGTCATTCTAAAAGTTCTTCTTAGATGCCAGAGCAAATAGCGGTGTTACTTCATCCAGGCGCGGGCGTGCACGCACACCAGGACTGCCCATTCCACGTGAACCACACAGAACCCACACATGGCTCTGGCCCTATGTCTTCGCATATGCAGGCGCTCCTGGTGGCCAGCTTCCCGGGTTCCTGGTTCAGGGTTCGAGGCCGATTTCGGTTGGCGGATGGGTTCTGGGTTCCCCGCTCCGGGCCCGGGGCTCCAAGCTATGTAATATTCCCAGGTTATCGATCTCTTCGTTGTGGCCAAGTGGCGGGGTCTTTGCGACCACGATCAGGATGAGATAGCATATAGACTGGAGCAGAGGGTAAACACCAGAGAGTATGGACCAGAGGTGGGTTTTGGGAGAAAGAGAGAGAGATAGAGAGAGAGAGAGAGAGAGAGAGAGAGGGAGAACGAGAGAAAGAGAGATAGAGAGAGAGAGAGAGAGAGCGCGAGCGAGATAACAAGTAGCCAGAATTCGAGAGCGAAAGATGGCGAGAGTAGACATTAGGCAATAGAGAGCAGAGAGAGCTGAGATGGTAGATACAATCAGCACATTATATTTGTATGTCAGCCAGCGTGAACCCCAAACATGTAGTTTCCAGCAGTATATGCTGTGCAAGTTATGCTGTGCAATATATGTTGTGTAACGGCGCCGATGCTGACCACGCCGATGACGATGATGGTGTCCACGTGTCGGTGAAGAAGGTTTCGTAAGGATTTCGACATGCGCGCGCGGCTGACGGGCGCGAGTGGCCCGCATGGTATTATTTCACAGGGACCGTGCCCCCTCCAGCACATGCGCAAGGGCGTTCGAATGATTTCGACATGCGCGCGCGAGAGGTCCACTCGGTCGAATTTTGTACAATGACTGTTGTGTAGGAATTTGCAAGATCGCGTGCATGACTTTTTTTTGCATGCAAGAGTTTCGGGGAACTCGATCTTGTGTTTTTGCAAACACAGCGTTTTTTTAGGATTGCGGTATGCGCGCGCGACGACCCGCGAGTATGGGTGTTATTGAACATGCATGGTTCTTGATGAACGAGTGTGCGCGTACAGTAGTATTCGTCGAGTATGATGGGGATTTTGAAACCAGGTGGGCTGGGATGGTGTATATTAATATTTTACGATGAGCACGGGGGCAACCTCAGATCCCAGGGGTTGCAGACGAAACCGGGGGTGGGGGATATTCTAGTTGCCCTTTTTGAAAGGAGGACTTGTGTGGCTCAATCTATGTTGTGCGATCTATGTTGTGCAGTCTATATTGTGCAAACTGTGCAATCTACGTTGTGCAATCTTTCTTGTGGCGAGGCGGCGACGGGGCGGCGACGGCGAGAGCATATCCGCTAGACCGACCCGCAGGCCCAGACGACGGGCGGCGACGAGGCGGCGACGGAGTGGCGTCGGCGAGAACATAACCGCCGGACCGATCCGCAGGCCCAGACGACATGCGGCGACGAAGAAGGCACGGGGAGAACACGAGGACGAGAACGAGGAGCTAATCAGTGACATCATCCTCCTGGAGGGCGGAGGCGGAGAGGGGGAGACGGAGGGAGGAGGAAGAGGAGCTAATCATTGACATCATTTCCCTGGGAGGCGGAGGTGGAGGGAAGAGACGGAGGGAGGATGAAGAGGAGGGGGGAGGGAGGAAGAGGAGATGCCAGAGGAAGATAAGTTGCAGGTAGTTGAGGGACCAGTCCTCATCCTCCCTTCTCATCATCATCCTCGTTGCTCCTCGTATAGGAAACATACTATTATGACGAGGAGGCTGAGCTGGAGGGATATAAGGACGGCAGTGAAGAGGATGGTCGATATGAGCAGCCGGACGGGGGTGATTGACTCCTGAACCTCATCATCACCCCCCAGCTCTACGCCGTCTTCTTGATAGCACTTCCCTTCCTCATCATCATACCACTCCCCCTCCTCATTCCTCCACGTGGGGGATATGGGGATGAGGAAATCAAGGAGGATGAGGAGGCCAAGTACTAGGAGGGAAGGGAGTGATCGTATCAGGATGATGCCGATGCGGAGAAAAGCATCAATCAGAGGATGAGGATGTGAGAGTGGGCGAGACGACGTGGCGGAATCGAAGGTGCAGTGGGGTGTGCTTGGAGACGGGCGAGCATATGTATGTATAGATATGTATAGATCCACATATAATACTCTATATGTGTGTGTGTAGATGTATATGTGTATGTACACATACGTGTGTCTGTATACGCATCGGCTGGTTCGGGATTCAAGACGCCGGAAGTTTTACGTGCTTGTTAGAATATCAAAGGCCCCCTGAGGGGCCCCCTTGGGGGGGATCCTCAGGACCCCATCAGGATTGGTCAGGTGTTTTCAGGGCTCTTCAGGGTTCTGAAGGAACCCTCCTACTTCCGTAGTTTCCCTCAGGACTCACCCGATTTTCTTGGTCAGGATCTGTCAGGGCCCCTCATGGGGCTTCAGGATCTCTCAAGTTCCTGATGGGGCCCTCAGGGGTCTGTCTCTCTCTCTCTCTCTCTCTTGGTCTCTCTCTCTCTCTCTCTCTCTTTTATCTCTCTCTCTCTCTCTTCTTCCCCCCTTCTCTCTCTCTTTCTCGCTCTCTCTTTCCCTTCCTCTCTCTCCACGTACATATACATATACACATGTATACATATTTATGTATGAAGAGAGGGGGGGGGAGAGAGAGAGAGAGAGAGAGAAACGACGACAACAGAGCGAGAGAGAGAGGGATAGAGAGAGAGAGAGAGAGTAGGAGAGGACGGATATCGATAGAGAGGCAGAAAGGGAGAGAGACAGAGAGAGAGAGAGAGAGAGTGAGAGGAATGTCTATATATATATATATATATATATATATATATATGTGTGGGTAACGCTGGCGAGTAGAAGCATGCAGAAATCGAGCGAGAGGAGAGAGAGGTAGATAGAGAGAGAGAGAGAGACAGAACGAGAGCGAACGATAGAGACGAGAAAGAGAGAGAGAGAGAGAGAGAGACAGAGAACATCGAGAAGAGAGTCAAGCTGGAATTGGGTGGAGAGCGGACCGATAACAGACAGTCCCGAATTTGCATACGGATAACCACTGCCGCCCCCTGCCTTTTGGAAACGTCTATGCGGCCAAACGTTGGGCCAACGTCTGGCCAGGCTACTGGACTATATGCTTTCCCCAGTCGTTGCGGATCCCTTTGGGGGAACACCTGGGAGAGGAAAAGGAAGGATGATGAGAGGGAGGGGATGGAGGAGGAGGACCAGTGTAAACCCAAGACTCATCAACGGTACTACAAAATCGTTCCCTTCATGTTCCCTCTTCGCAGGCCCCTGCAAGGGTTCATGTTCACTGAGGGAAGTGCCCCGTTGAAAGACAACCGTTTGAAAACCATGAACTATTCGTCTTGAGATTTCAACGCCGAGAATCACCATACCTGTTGCGTCTCGACGATCCCGAATCGTGCTAGAACGCCGTTCCTTGGACTTCAGCACCGCGAACCAACGTGAATTTTGCGCCCTGGCAATCCGACATCGTGCCAACACATTATTTTGGGGTCGTTAACGCTGGAAATCCTTGACGCTGTTGTAAACTCTTAAAATGATTGTGCGCTGCGCTGAGGCGAGAGCCACATGCTGAAAACGAGCCGCCCTCCAGGCGTGAAGCTCTTGCGATATTGTAAACGAAAATGCGCTGTGCTAGGGCGAGAGCCACATTTTGAAAACCACCCGCCTTCCATCCGTGAAGGTCTTACAATTTTGAAAAAAAAAACGATTGTGCGCGGCGCTAGGGCGAGAGCCACACTTTGAAAGCGAAGCTCTTTCAAATTCTAAGCGCCAGGACCATAAATGGTGAGGGAGTCTCAGGCGAAACGCCCAGCCCGCCCTTTCGATCGGCCTCGGGATGTGATTTGGAGGATTGAGGCCGTCTTGTGGCTTCCTGGGGCTTCTTGCGAGCCTCTTGGGGGCCTCTGAGGATCCTCTTGAGGTCCCCCTGGGGCCTCTTGGGGGCCTTGTTGGGGGCCTCTGGGAGACTTTGGCCTTTGGAGACCGTCTTGGGGGCCTCTGTGGGACGTCGTGGGTCTCTGCTTGGGCGCTTCCGGGCCGTCTTGGAGGTCTGTGGGGCTGTCTTGGGGGCCGTTTTGCGAGCCTTTTGGGGGCCTTTTGGGCCGTCTTGGGGCGATCTTGGGGGCCCATGGGGCCGCCTTGGAGCGGCGGAAGCCCGAGCAGGCGAGAACGCTGAAATCATGGAAACGCCCAGGGCCAATCCTCTTGGGGCCCTCTTTGGGCGTCTCAGGGGGCCACTTGGGCCATCTAGAGGGCATCTCGGGCCGTCTTGGGGTCATAGTGGCCGTCTCGGGACCGTCTTGGGCCCTTTTGGGGTCATCTTAGCCGTCTTGGAGGTCATCTTTGCCGTCTTGGAGGCCATCTTAGGGCCGTTTTTGGCGGCAACACCCATGGAGTGCACTTTTTCTGGGTTGCCAGCGGGCTAGGTCGGAGACTGGTGGGGAGCTCTCTGATCAATAAGCAAGGGGCGGCGGATCTTATTGCTTATGGCCCATCCCGCCACCATGCCTGCAGGCGGTCTTCAGTGGCAATCTTTGTGACATGCGAGGTTTTGGTGATAATCCACTGACTGGGTTTTCCCTGATGTACTTGATGATGATGGGATCGATCAATCAATTGTGAGACCGATCGTGACAGCCACCGATCGCAAAATGGGTAGGTTGACGGTGAGACCGATCGACAGTCATATCGGTAATTTAGATCGAGACGCGTATATGGATCCTGAGATCGACATTTCTATATATATATAGAGATCGACCGATCGTGAAACCGTTAGATATTTAGGGAGATCGATGGCCAGATGTCGAGATCGTTGCTTCGATAAATCGCGAGTCCGATCCGACGCCACTCGCAAACCCTGAAGCTGCAGACAGCCCCTCCCCCAACCGAAGGGTGCTTCTGTACAGTCGAAACCGATGGGAAGGATGAGCAACCTTCCCTAAGGTACCCTTCGGCGTGGAGAGAGGGGGGGAAGTGCGAAGGAGAAGGCCTTCTCAGAAGGCGGCGGGACTTCTCAGAAGGCCTCGCGCCTTCAAAACTTCTCAGAAGTCCAGGGGACCTCCGAGCCTTCTGAGAAGGCCCGCCCTTTCTCACTTCCCCCCCGGGCGCGCCGCCTAACCCTTGAATCCCTGCCTCCTCGGCCCATCATGGATCCCTTTCCACGGCCTGCCGCGCTCGAAAAAGCTTCAACTTGGGCGTCCAAGGCCCCTGCGCCCTTACCGCGCATCCGTGTAGTGGAGACCCATGCCAAGAAACACCCTGCTTGCCTCCAGGGTGCGCTGGGTTTCTTGGATTTCGATGGTTGTGCTCTGGAACGCGTGACGTCCCCACGCCAAAAGTCGATGGGCGTCCTGGGGCTCCGGGGCTGGGTTTCTCGTGGAAGGCCTCGTGAGGCCCGGCCTCCACGGCACTCCCACCTTCCGACCGTGCGTGCAGAGGCCTCGCTCCCCCGCAGGAGCGCATGCGGCGCTTCGCCGAGCAGCCAGGGCTCTCCGTGTTCCTGCTGTCCTCGAGGGCCGGCGGCCTCGGGCTCAACCTGCAGGCGCGCGACCCGGGGGCTCCCCGCCTCGGAGTCGAGCGGGCGGAGCGGGGGAGCTCTGCACCACCGCGGGCTCCCCCTCTGCCCACAGCCTGCGACCCGATCGAGCATTCGGCGGCGAGCCCCAGGGGGGGGGGGGAGCGAGCGGGGGGCGGGCCTTCGCCGAGGGCTCGGCAGGCCTCGGGCCTCAGGAGGAGTCTTCCCATCCTTCCCCGACGGCGCAGAGAACACTTCTCAGAGGGCGCCAGGGCTTCCGAGAGGCCCCGCCGCCTTCTGAGAAGGCCGCCTCCTTCTCGCTTCCCCCCCTCGCTCGCCGCCAAAGCACGGGTGGTGGGCCGCACGGTCTGTTGCAGCCGCTGGCTGCATGTCGTCGGGCCCGGGCTCGCTGAGGCCTGCATCTCCGGTGCAGGCGCAGAGAGCGGCCGTCGGGTGCTGCGGCGCCCATACGGAGGGCTGCTCTGGCCGCTGCCACCCCCGACGACTGCTGGAGGCGACGCTGCGGACGGGCGGGCCTGACGGCCACCCACCGGAGCTGCCCGGGTGCCCGGCATCGAGGCACGTCCAGCCACCTGCCGGCGGCCACCTGGGCGTGGTGGCGGTGGCGGCCCCACCAGCTGGCGGAAGTGTTCAGGGGGGCGTCCAGGCGTAGCCACGAGGGCCCCCAGCAGGCCCCCCAAGCCCGAAGTATCAACGACTCTCGACCTTCGACCCGCGATGCTCTTCTCCCTCCTCCCGCTCCCCCTCGTCCTCTTCCTCGTCCCTCCTCCTCCTCCTCCTGCTGTCCCGGTCCAATTCCTTGCACGGCGCAACTGCCTTTCAGCAATAGCTTCCTCATGTATCGAAGACGCATACTGCGAGTCACCACCGCCCCCTGCCTTTGGGATCACCCATGCGGCCACAAACGTCATGCCGAAGTCTGGCCAAGCTGTTGGATTATGTGCTGCCTCAGCCGCTGTGGAACCCCTGGTGTGAGAGCAAGAGGAAGGAGAAGGAGAGGGAGGAGGAGGAGGAGGAGGAGGGGGAGGACCAGTGCAAACCCAAGACTCATCAAGGATGCTGGAATACATCTTTCTTCCAAGATCCCTCTTCATTGGCCACTACCCGTTGGGAGACAACCGTTTGAAAATCCTGAAGCATGCCGAACACCATTATCGGGACCTCTAGCGCCACGAATAAATATGACTGTTGCGTGTTGACGATCATAAATCGTGCCAGAACGCCATTCCTGGGACTTCAACACCGCTCCAAAGCAAAATTTCTGGTACCATGGGAATTCGCGAAACTCTTGCAATTTGTTGCGGCGAATGTGCGCGGCGCTAAGGCGAGAGCCACATTTTGAAAACGGCCCGCCCTCACTCCGTGAAGCTCCTGTGGCTATCTTATGACGAAAATGGCCCGCTCTCAGTCCGTGAAGCGCCTGCCAGTTTTAAGACGAATGTGCGCGGCGCTAATGCGAGAGTCACACTTTGAAGCCGCCCGCCCTCCATATATATGCTTCAGGATCATACATGGTACGGAGATCTCAGGTGAAACGCCCAGCCCGCCCTTCCGATTGGCCTCGGTATGCGACAGGGAGGAGTTATCTATAAGGGAAAGGACTGGAGGAGGAGAGGGAGAAGGAGGAGAAGGAGGAGGGGGACGAGAAGGAGGAGGAGAAAGAAGAAGAAGAAGAGGAGGCCTCTTCAGGCCTCGGGGGCCTCTTGGGAGCTACTTGAGGGCCTCTGATGGACCTCTTGGTGGCTCCTTGGACCGTTCCTGGGCCCTCTTGGGCCGTCTGAAGGACCTCTTGGGGGCCTCTTACGCATCGGGATCCAAGGGCGAGAGTGCACCGTTGCCACTGCTGCAGAGCGTCATTGCTGCGTCGGCCCACGCCGGGTAGGTTCGGCATGCAGTATGTTTCTGTTCTGATTTCCGAGGCGTCTCGCTTTCGGCATGTAGTGCGTTTCTGTTCTGACTTCCGAGGCGTCTCGCTTGCCGACGCTTGGCAACTAGGGCCGTTTAGGTGGCGATCTTGGGGGCGGGGGTCGTCTTGGAGCGTCGGGTGCCCGAAAAGGCGAGAACGCTAACATCATTGAACAATCCACGGGTAGTTAGTGATTTTGGCCTTCTGGTGGTCCTCTTGGGGCCGTCTTGGGGCGTCTCGGGGGCCTCTCGGGCCGTCTGGAGGGCATCTTGGGATGCCTTGGGGCCATCTTTGCCTTCTGCGAAGCGTCTTGGGGCAGTCTTGGGCTCTCCTGGCGCCATTTTGGCCGTCTTGGAGGCTTTCTTGGCCGTCTTGGCGGCCATCTTGGATCCTCTTCGGGCCACCAAGAGGGGAAAAACCCTTGCCTCCCACCTCGCCCGTGCGGCCAGTGGGATCGGCCGAGGCCCCCCTGTGAAAACCTTTCAGCAGGATTCAGACAACGAAGCATCCAGCACGCCGTACACCCCTGTGGCAAGCAACAGGTCGCCGCGCTATCGACAAAGTTCGTTTGTAATTCTTCGGATGCAACTTCTGGGAGGTCAAATTCTGATTTTGCCCTGGTCCGAAATCCAGCTTAATCCGGCTTAATCCCGCTCAAGCTGGCTTACTCCGGCTGAATCCCGCTTAATCCCGCTGGATCCGTGGCCTAGTCTGGCGCACCAGCCCCCCAAAGGGGCCTAATTCTCCTTAGTCCTTCCGACGACGATCTCCCAGTAGTTGCCTCAACAATTCGCATCTCCATCTGCTGCCTGCGCCTGAGGAATCTCTGCGCCGCCGACTTTGAAAAAGCAAGCAGCAGGGAGCGGCGGGCTTAGTGGCGTCAGGTCCATCCCGCACCGTGCTTGGGTTGTAGGTTCGAGGTCTCTTGGATGCCCGTGGGGACCTCTGGGGAGGCCTCTTGGGAGCCGCGTGGAGGCGGCTTTGGGGCGCCCTGGGGCCTTCGGGGGCCGTCTTGGGGTCTTCATGGGGCTGGTTTTGGATCTCTTGGGGGCCTCCTGCGGCTTTGGGGGGCCTCTTGGTGGCCTGATCGCGGTCTCGGGGATCCTCTGTGGGCGGAGGGCGCGAAATATCAGTTCGAATTCTCCTTTTTAGAACCCTGTGGGGCCCTTTTGGTGGCTTCTTGGGCCATCTTGGGGGCTTCTTGGACTGCCTTGGAGTCCTCTTGGGTCGTCTGCTTGGGGGCCTTTTGGGCCGTCTTGGGGCGATCTTGGGGGCCTGTTAATCCGTCTTGGAGCGTCGGAAGCCCGAAAGGGCGAGAGTATTGCCCGGTGTTTTTTGTTTGACTCGTGGCCTTCTCGTCTCTTCGGCGGAGTTCACTGGGCTGGCTTGCTCCTCTCTCCTCCGCTCTTCCTCTCCCTTCCTCCCCCCCCGCCTTGGGCGTCGGGCGCCCGCAGGCGGCCGACACGGTGATCCTGTTCGACCTCGACTGGAACCCGCAGAACGACAAGCAGGCGGTCGCCCGAGCCCACCGCGTGGGCCAGACGCGGGAGGCGCGCTGGCAGGGGGATCGGGCGCCACCGAAGGGAGCTATGAACCCGGCGCGACCCCAGCTAGGGGAGAGCTTCTTATTGCATGGGTGCAGTGCTTGGCATTGCGTGGCGTCGCTTGGCGTTGCTTGGCACTGCTTGGCACTGCTTGGCTTTGCTTGGCATTGCTTGGCGTTGCTTGAACCGGGAAGCCCGGGGACATCGAGGAACCCGGGGAACTCGATGAACCCGGGGACTTTGGGGAACCCGAGGAATTTTCTGGGGAACGGGCATAGTAGGCCCCCGAGGCACCAGCCTTTCACCAAGTCAGAACCCCTGAGGCAGGCCTAATTGGGGAAGCAGAGAGAGGCTCTGTGGTCAGCCACAAAGCCTTCAGGGGGGGGGGGCCCTTCGGAGAGTACACTTACAATCTCAGGGCGGCTGAGACTGGCCGCTCCGTGGGCCCGCGACAGGGCCCCCCCTCCCCAGGAAAACAGGCAGGGCCCCCCCCCCCCCGCCACGGGGTGGGGCCGCGACGGGGCCCCATTATGGGCCCGCGCCAGCAGGGGGAGAGGAGGAAGATGGGGTTAGGGAGCAGGGGGTGAGGAGGGGGTAACAGGAGGGAGAAGCAGGGGGAGAAGGGAGAAGAGGAGGGAGAGGAGGAGGGAGGAGAAGGAGGAGGAGAAGGAGGAGGAGGAGGAGAGGAGGAGGAGAGGAGGGAGGAGGGAGAGGGAGAGGGAGAGGAGGAGGCGGAGGAGGAGGAAGAGGAGATCGCACCGCATCGCCGATGCATCGGCGATGTTCGGCAATGCGGTTCGATGTGGAGCCCGACATTCTTCACGCGGACGTCGCCGATGCATCGCCGACGTCGTCAGTGCATCTCCAATGCATCGCTCGCCGATGCATCGCCGATGCGTCGCCGATGTATCGGCGATGCGGCGCGCTCCTCCGACCCCATCTACTCGAACCCCATCTAGGAGGCCTCTATAGGTACGCTTCTCCAGCCAGTCCGTCTAGGGTGGGAGGCGTCTCCGCCGACCTGCCAGGATCCTGCCCGGCCAGCATCGGTGCGGATGTGTGACGGGTTCCCCTAGGCGTCCGCGGCCATGCACGGGGGGCCGCGAGGGCGAGCCTTGGTGTCGCTGCTTGGTGGCCCGCCTTCCCACGGCCTCGTCGTCGTCGTCGTGCTCCTCTTTTCCTCTACTCCTCCTCTTCCGTTTCCACTCTGGTCCGCGATCATCGAGCACGAACGAACCCCTAATCCTAAGAATGTGATGAAGACGCGGCCTCACTGAGGTCCCCGTCGTCGCATTAGGGATAATAAGGCTGGTCGGTTTGGTCTGATACATCTGCCGAAAAGACACCCTATCCTTGATGTTTTTGGCCCTCCTAGCTCAGGTCGCCTCCCAAAGGGTTAGGGGTTCCTTTTTGGTTAGTCGCGCGAGGTCTGCCAGGTGGCGGCGGGTCGGCCTCCTCACGGGCAGGGTTTTTCTCCTCTCGCGCCAGCGCGCGAATCACGCACGTCAGCGGGGCAGGATAAAGGGAGGGTCGATGAAGGGAACGGGCCGCCGAGGAGGAAGAGGGGGAGAAGGGGAAACATGGGCGGGGGGTAGGAGGAAGGATGAGGACGAGGAGAAAGAGGAGGATGAGGAGGAGGAAGAGGAGGACCCAGACATCGGGCGACTAGAGTTCTGTTGAAGTATGGGCCCGAACCTTTCTGAGTCTTTTTTTATGGCATGGACTTTGGGGCCCGAAGCCAGCATACAGAGGCTAAGAGCAGCGGAAGCCGACCGTCCCGATGATTGTGAGCCGACGGGTATCTGGGAAGGAGGGGGAGGCGGATCACCAATGAGGAGTAGGAGACGAAGGATAGGAAGAAGGGCTGGGCGCCGAGGTGCGGGTGGTGCGGCTGCTGTCCGACTCGCCAGTGGAGAGGCACATCGAGCAGAGGCGCGCGCTTCAGAAGCGCAACCCGGTCGGCTCGACCGGGTAGTTCTGGTTGCCCTCCGAAGGCCGCGTAGTTTGGAGGAGTCGCCATGAAGACGAGCGGTCTTGAGGGAAAGGTGTCCCGAGGTTGTTCGCCATTTGTGGTCTCCCGGGGCGCTTTTTGGACGGCCCTGGGGCCGTCCACAAGATGATTCAGCACGAGAAGCCAGTCCCCGGAAAAAAGCTCCACGGCCCCCGCCTCCAGGAGGACCGCTTTCCCCACGCTGGCCACCGCGGAGCTCGGAGGGGGGACGAGTACAGTGGAGGCCCATGCCAAGAAACACCCTGCTCGCCTCCAGGGTACCCTGGGTGCATTGGATTCCGACGGTTTTGCCATGGAAGGCGTGACGTTTCCACGCCAAAGATCAAGGGGCGTCCTGGGGCTCCAGGGCTTGGTTTTTCGTGGGAGGCTTCTGGTGGTCGGGCCTCCACTGCAAGCTGTTGATCCCAAAGCGCAACGGGGAGTAGACGGGGAGGGGTGGGCGAGCGCGCGAGGCTGTGGCCGGGGGCCACGGCTCCCTCCCCACCCCGCCCGCTCTCCCGCGATCGCGTGCCTCCTGCGGCAGGTGCGCGGAGAAGCTGGGCGTGGAGCAGAAGGCGCGTCTGTGGCAGGGGGGATGGGGGAGGGAGGGGCGAGGGAGCAGGGGCAGGCAGGAGGAGGAGGGCGGGGAGGCTGGGCAGACGGGAAGGCAAGAGATGGAGTACGTGGCAGGGCACGCTGATGAGAAGTTCGAGGATGATGATGATGATGATGATGATGATGATGATGATGATGATGATGATGATGATGATGATGATGATGATGATGATGATGATGATGATGCTTATGACGAGAATAAGGAGGATGAGGATGAGGATGAGGATGAGGATGAGGAAGAGGATGTGGATGAGGATGTGGATGTGGATGATGATGATGATGATGATGATGATGATGATGATGATGATGATGATGATGATGATGAAGAAGAAGAAGAAGAAGATGATGATGATGTTGATGATGATGATGACGATGATGATGATGATACGGATGATGCTGATGCTGATGCTGATGCTGCTGCTGATGACGGTGACGATGACGATGACGTGATGATGGTGATGATAATAATGATGAGGTTGACGACGACGATGATGAGGATGATGCTGGTGGTGATGATGATGCTGATGATCATGACGATGTCGCCAACGATGATGACGATGATGCTGATGATGATGAGGATGATAATGAGGATGAGGATGAGGATGATGATCAGGATCAACACGAAGGCTGACCAGGCTGATGATGATGGCGAGGATGCTGATGGTGATAATGTCGATGATGATGATGATGATGCTCATGATGCTGATGCTGGAACTGGTGAGGATGGTGGAGATCCTGATGACGCTGATGATACTGTTGCTGACGAGGATGATGCTTTTGTTGTCGATGATGCTGTCGATGACGATGATGCGGGAGAGGATGACGATGCGGATGCGGACGCGGATGCGGATGATGATGATGATGATGATGATGATGATGATGATGATGATGATGATGATGATGATGATGTTGATGATGCTAATGATGCTGATGACGATGATGAGGATGATGCTGATGTGGACGGTGATGCTGATGCAGTTGACGATGACGGTGCTGATGATGATGATGATGATGAGGATGATGATGATGACGATGTTGATGCTGCTGATGATGAGGATGACGCTGATGATACTGATGCTGATGACGGTGATGAAACTGATGAGGCTGATGATGACGATGATGATGGTGATGATGATGATGGTGATGATGATGCTGATGATGATCATGATGATGATGATGATGATGATGATGATGATGATGATGATGATGATGATGGTGGGGATGAGGATGAGGATGAGGATGATGGCGAGGATGACGATGGCCATGATGATGAAAGTTGAAGAGAACAGGAACGATATATGACGCTGAGGAAGATGGTGGCGATGTTGGTGATGGTCTTGATGGTGATGGTGTTGATGGTGATGAGTTTGGCGGTAGTGATGATAATGATGGGGGGGAATGTTGATGGTCGTGGCGAAAACCATGATGATAACCATGCTGATCCGATGAATCTGAGGATGAGGAGGACGGGGGCGAGGAGGTGGGGGCAGAGGATGAGGCGGGATGAGGTGAAGGGGAGGAACGCGAGGGGAGGGGGTATGAGGAGGAGGAGGAGGAGGAGGAGGAGGAGGAGGAGGAGGTGGAGGAAGAGGAAGAGGAAGAGGAGGAAGATGAGGCAGCGGCAGGAGGTCGAGGAAGAGGCAAACGGAATGAGGGGATAGTGAGAGGGATATGGGGAGAGGGAGGGGAGAGGGACGGGTAGGGGATACAGTGATGATGATGATGACGATGACGATGACGATGACGATGACGATGATGATGATGATGAGGATGAGGATGATGATGATGATGATGATGATGATGATGAGGATGAGGATGATGATGATGATGATGATGATGATGATGATGATGATGATGATGATGCTGATGCTGATGCTGATGCTGATGCTGATGCTGATGCTGATGCTGATGCTGATGCTGATGATATGCTGATGATGATGAGGAAAAGGAGGAGGAGGACAAGTGTAATCCCTAGACGTATCAACGGTGTTGCAATCCACCCTCTCTCCAAGTTCACCCTTCACACGCCCTTGCAAGAGTTTATCTTCATTGCAGGAGGCGGTCCATTGCAAGAAATACCGTCTGACTAGTTCAAACCGTTGAGGACGTCACTCCCCCTGGACGCTGAAGGAGGTGGGGGTCGGCCCTAGAATGCACTGAAGAACCCTTATCAGACACCAGGGGAGCATGTTAACACGCCCACTCCGTGCAGGCACAGTGCCAGATGTTCGCCAACTCGTCCCGCCCCCCAAGCAGTGAGCTCTTGCACTCTGTGCCCAAGCGATGTGGTGCGCGCTATGTGATGCAAGCTGTGCCGCGCTGCAAGCAGTGTTGTACAATCCAGGTGTGGTGGTAGGTGCGATGCCGTCACCCGGCTCGCCCGAGGGCGCGTGCGGACTGCCTCTGCCGCGCTGCGACGTCAAGAGTGTGTGGTAGCAGTAGGCTGTCAGGTGCGAGAGGCGTGGTGTCATCGCATGCGTCGCACACGGTGTAGCGTAAGCGAAGCAGCGCGAGGCGCCCACGAGGCGCCCACGGCCACCCACCAGGCGCACCTCCGGCAGACCCGGCCAGCGCACGGAGCGCCCACCGGGCGCGCCCACGGCCGCCCACCGGGCGAGATCTCGGCGGGCTTGGCCGGCACGCGGGGCGACCACGAAGCGCACAGGGCCGCCCACCAGGCGAATTTTCTGCTTATCCGTCCAACATCTTCTCAGGACAGGTGCGAACCCCTAGGAATGAACGTGGTCTTCAGGATACAGCGGCGCGTATACCTACACCTACGTTCAGATACACATCGCCGAACGCGTTCCACTATTCGCAGAGTGCCCGCTCGCCAACGTGCGGAAAACACAGGCATGCTCCGATGTAATCTATCGTAGATCCCCCGCGTCGGATCCAGGCCATCGGCGAGTAGTTACTCTGCGAGTAGAACGCTAACATACACATACCTCTATATTTATGTTTACATACATACATACATACATACATACATACATACATACATACATACATACATACATACATACATACATACATACATACATACATATACGTTAGGCACCTCGGATGGAGTTTCGGATCCGCCTGAGCTGCCAGCGACAGGGGATACGACAACTGAGCACCCTCTGCAACCTCTTGATGCCCTTCTGCACGCTCACGTCCGAATCGGCGAGCCGCGAACCGCGACGAGGCACGCAGACACATGTTTTTCGGGGAAGTGCGCGGCAGCCTGGCTCCACAGAGATCGACCGCGGGTTTCTCGTCTCCTCTTCGTCGCCTACCCCTCGTTTTCCTCCTCCGTCTCCCCCTCCTTGCGTTTCACGCGTCCGTTTCGGCATTCGCCTTTTCATCGTTTTTGAAGACGCACGCAGAGACTGATGGTCGAACACTCTGCAGAAATGGTCTTGCATACGGCGCCTGGACGGTTGTATGCTCTGACCCTTACCACGTTGCGATAAACTTGTTCTGTGGACATGCGCACTGTTCGAGGCCGTGGTCATCATTGTCTTCGTTGCCGTGAAGACAAAAGATGGCGTCCCCTTCACAACGCCGCCGACGAAGAACGACGACGACGGTTCCTCCTTGTTTTTCTTACCAACAGCGTCAACCAATCCATCCTCCCCTTCCTCCTCCCCTTCCCCCTCCCCTTCCCCCTCTCCCCTTCGTATCCTTCCCACCCCTCCTCCTCCTCCTCCTCCTCCTCCTCCTCCTCCTCCTCCTCCCGAGACTCAGGTCGCATGTTACCAGCAGAGAAGGAACGTCAGCACCTCCTCCTCCGCCTCCGCCAGCCTCATCGGGGGGGGGAGGAGGAGGAGAAGGACGGGCAGGAGGAGGGGGAGGACGGGGAGGACGGGGAGGAGGAGGAGGAGGAGGAGGAGGAGGAGGAGGAGGAGGAGGAGGAGGAGGAGGCGGAGGAGGAGGAGGAGGAGGAGGAGAAGGAGGAGGAGGAGGAGGAGGAAGAGGAGGATGAGGAGGAGGAGGAAGATGAGGAGGAGGAGGAGAAGGAAGAAGAGGAGAAGGAGGAGGATGAGGAATGTCAGTAAGTCCTCCTCCTCCTCCTCCTCTTCCTCCTCCTCCTCCTTCCTCCAGGTCCTCGTGGCTGGCAGGTTCCAGCGCTCCGCCAGCACGGACGACCGGGGCGCTGCGCTGCGGGCGGCCATAGGCCTTCGGCGCTGCTCGAGTCTGCGCCCTCTGCGGTCGAACGCTGGGTTTTGCATTCAGAGGAGACGTCGAGCTGGTAGAGACGGGGGCCAGTGCAAACGGGGGTCAGACAGAGCGCCGGATTTTGCAGGATCTTGCAGAGCCAGGGTTGCATTGACCCGGGCTGGCGTGCAGGATCCTGCAGGATCTTGCAGGATGATTTTGCAGGATCTTGCAAAGCCCGATTGACCAGGGCTTGCATCGACCTGGGTCGGTAGGATCCCGAAGACAGGCGTACCGATACTGACATCGGTCCATCGTTTTCGCCTTTTTGGGCCTCCCGGGGGGCCCTCGTCGCAATGGCTGGATTCGCCTCGGGCTCTGGTCAGGACGCACCCCTGGAGGGTTCCAGACAGGCGATATCGTCAGAGTCTGTCCCATCTTCGTTGGGCCTGTTTTTGTTTGTTTATTGTTTCTTTGTTGTTTTTTTGGTCTCTCTCTCTCTCTCTTTGTTTTTGTTGTTTTTCTTATATATATATATATGTGTGTATATATATATATATATATATCCTTTTTTTTCTCTCTCTCTCTCTCTCTCTCTCTCTCTCTCCCTGCTACACTCCCACGGAGTTTTGCGGTCGTCTTCCCAGCATCCTTGGGAGGCTCCGTGGCCACCTCGGGCTGGGCCGTCTTGAGGCGCGCCAGAGGCCATCCTGAACGGAGTTGGATCATCTTTGCGCGTTCTTGGGGACCATCTTGGACAGTTTGGGCCTTCTTGGAGCCCTCCGAGGCCACCCTGAGCGCCCTGCCCGCTCACGAGCTCTTCCCGTCCTGACCTCTGGGGAGTGGGCCTCTCCTGGCAGGGCTGGTGGACCTCACTCCCCGCTGGTGACGCGACTGGCGTGCCTTCGCCTCGAGAATGGCGACGGCGAGGCCAGCACACACACCAGGCAAGGCCAGACGAGGCAAGACACTGGCAGACCAGACGAGATGAGACACGGCACGACAGCGTCCCAGTCGGCCCCAGATGTCCCCAAGGCCTCACGACGGCCTCGTTGGCGGACAAGACGACTCAAGACGGCCCCTGGCGGACTCGCATGAGGCCCCCAAGAGGCTATTACCCGGGGGCGTACCCACCCACCCAAGACGCATGGTACCTGCATGGGCGGGGAGTAGTTTTTGCTTGGGTCAGAACCAGACTGCAAAGAGACGGCAGTTGAGCAGGTCGCACCACTCAGTGATGGGAGCATTACTTTGGATCAGACTAGGACTGCATTTCTCTGGACTCCCCGCAAGCTCACCAGAGTGCCGACAGTTGTGTAGCTAGCGCCCAGCGAGGGGAGTAATGGCCTGGGTGGGAATAATACTGCATTGTGCTGGACCCCCACACGCTCACACACGTGGGGGCAGTTGCGCCGTTGGCACTACTCAGGGAGGGGAGCAATAGCTTGGAGCTGGACATTCAGTAAGGCCAGACCCCTTACGCCGTACACGAGCTCACGAAAGCGCCGACAGTTTTGCAGCTGGCTCCACTCAGGGAGGGGAGTAATAGTTTGGGTCTCCGCTTGACCTCCCAGGAGCTCACGGAAGTGCAGACACTTGCGCAGTTGGGAGCGCCCAAAGAGGGGAGCAAGAGTTTGGATCTGGGCAGGACCGCATACCGCTGGACACTGCAGAAGCTCGCACAAGTGCTGACATTTGCGAATTTGGCAGCGCCCAGGGAGGGATGCCATCGTTCAGGGCTGCGTAGGACCGCACTCCGCTGGACCACCCACACGCTCGCAAACATGAGGGCAGTTGCGAAGTTGTCCTCCCGCCTCCTCTCCACATGGGAGGGGAGTAACAGTTCGGATCATACTGCGACCACACTCCGCTGGACCCTCCACCTTCTCACGAACGTGAGGGCAGCTGCGCAGTCGGGACCACCCAGGCAGGGGAGTCATAGTTTGGATCTGGACAAGACCGCACTCTGCTTGAAACCAGACGGGCTCAAGAGGGTGCCGGCAGTTGAGCAGTAGGAGGCGTAGGAGGCAGAAGGAGGGACGGCGGGAGGAGGCAGGATCATGGAAGAGAGGAGCAGCCGCGCTCTATTCAAAACGAGGACCCATTAACACAGGAGAGCTGTGGCGCTTATCCAGAGATTCTCAAGATACGTATGAGCTTACCATGTGCGGCTTTCCCTTTGCATACTTCCGGAAGGAACTCATGACGTTTGGGCAGCTGGTTTTCCTTGGTCTCGGACCCACTGGAGCAAGTCTCGGGCAAGTTTGTCCGCCGCCGCGAAATCAAAGTTCACAAACATATGGTCCATACTCCATGCTACACGTTGCTCGTCGCCCTGAATCGCTTCTCGCACTCGCGCTGCTTGCTTTTTGGAAGTACCAATGGCGGCTGGAGTCTGGAAGGAATATGTGCGGGCAGAGCGGTACAGAGGAGGACCAGTGCTGGAGCTCCAGGATTTGAATTATTTTCAGGGGGCATGCGCGATGACGTTGAAGATGAAGACTGCGACGCGTTCGGCACCGCTGCCGACCGTTACCCGGTTCTCCGCTCCCCATTCTCTTCTCTTCTCTTCTCGCAGTGCTCCTCCCCTTGCCTCTCCCTCCTCCCTGGCTATCCTCTTGCCCCTTCTGCCCCCTTGTACCTCCGCGCGCCCCCCCTCGCCAACCTCCCCGAAGAAGGGAGGAGCGAGGAGCGAGGAGCAAGGAGCGAGGAACGAGGAGCGAGGAGCGAGGAGCGAGGAGCGAGGAGCGAGGAGCGAGGAGTGAGGAACGAGGAGCGAGGAGCAAGGAGCGAAGAGCGAGGAGGAGGACGAGGAGGAGGAGGAGCGACGAGGAGGAGCGAAGAGGAGGAGGAGGAGAAAGAGGAGACAGAGGAGAAAGAGGAGGAGGAGGAGGAGAAGGAGGAGTAATCCTATTGCGAATAGCAGTGGTACAAAACATGCTATTACGAATCGTAATCCTTATACCATTACGAATAATAATACGAGCAATACAGCTAATACTACTCATCAGACGAACAAGCATGCGTCTAATTATATTAGCACTAAGACTTATAACACGAAAGCTAACAAGCTAACACTACTTAACTCATACTACTGAACGTACTACTACGAATACAACTAGTAATACTACCAATAATGCGACTACTACGAATAATATTAAGAAGGTGACGATGAGGAGGAGGAGGAGGAGGAGGAGGAGGAGGAGAGAGGAGTGAGGAGTGATGATTGGTGAATGAGGAATGAGTTGTGAGGAATGAGGAGTGAGGAGTAGGAGGAGTGAGAAAAAAGAGGAAGGAGGAACGTGAGGATAGCTGCCCCCCTTTTCTCTTTCTCCTCCTTCTCCCCTTGTCCTCCTCCTCCTCCTCCTTGCTCCTCCCTCCTCGCTCCTCCCTCGTCCTCCTCGCTCCTCCTCCTCGCTCCTCCTCGCTCCTCCTCCTCCTCGCTCCTCCTCCTCGCTCCTCCTCCTCCTCCTTGCTCCTCCTCCCCTCTCGGGCCGCCGACCCGTCAAGGCCTGCAGGAGGCCTCGGCCGCGGGCGCCGGCGGAGCCTCGGGCTGGGGGCCAGGGGGCGGCACCACGTCGCCGGAGGAGCTGAACGGGCTGCTGGCCAGGGGCGAGGAGCCCGCTGGCCGGGAGGGTCACGGCGGGGGCCCTCCTTTACCCCTCCTGCCGGGGTCGAGCCCCACAGTTTTGGTCAGCCTCCCGCGTCTTACCTCTTCCTCAATTGACACGCGACCCCCTCTGTTCAGACGAGGGGCGATCGGCAGGACAGGCGGTTGCAGGATCACCTTCATCTACCGTTAGCAGCAGCAGCAGCAGCAGCGGGGGCCCTCTTGGGCGTGGCGTGATGGGGGGGGGCGGTGATCAAACCAGCCCCCTTCGAGCCACGAGACATCACGACGGGAAGTTTTTCCCCATGGCCTCTGGGGGCTTCATTCTGCCATAGATCTTTGTCATGCCGTCATCCCCTACATCATCCCATCAGCCCACCATCCCATCACCTTATACACCACCATCATCACCCCATCATCGTATACATCAGCATCCCATCATCCCATACAACATCATCATCCCACCATCCGATACAGCATCAGCATCCCATCACCCTATACAGCGTCAGCATCCCATCATCCCATACAGTATCCCATCATCTCATCATCCCATCTTCCCATCATCCTCTACAGCATCCCATCAACCCATCACCCCATCATCCCATACATCATACATCACCCCATCATCCCATCAACCCACACAATCCAATCATCCCATTATCCCATCATCCCAACCACCACAGTCATATCGTCATCCCAAGCATCATCGTCATAATCTCACCCCACACATCATTGTCATGCCATCATCCCAAACATCGTCGTCATATCATCATCCTACCCATCACCGTCATAGCAGCATCCCAAACATCATCGTCATATCACCATCCCAAGCATCATCGTCATATCACCATCCCAAACATCATCGTCATATCATCACCTCAAGCACCGTCGTCATATCAGCACCTCAAGCATCATGGTCAGATCACCATCCCAAACACCCTCGTCCCATCATCATCCCAGACATCATCCCAGCAGCCTATCTTCCAAATCGTCCGTGAGTGTCCTTAAGATGATGGATGGACGGTTGGTCGGGACAACGAACCACGTGTAGCCCTACTAATACAATTACTACGGCTACTGCTACCACGAGACGACTACTACTACTACTACTACTACTACTACTACTACTACTACTATTACTATTATTACTACTACTACTACTACTACTACTACTACTACTACTACTACTACTACTACTACTACTACTACTACTACTACCTACTACTACTACTACTACTACTACTACTACTACAACTCCAACTCCAACTCCGACTACCACGACTACCGACACATCCTGTTCCTACTTCTCGTGCCATCACATTTTGCATTTCCATTCACAGTATGACGATTACTACTACTTCTGCTGCTGCTGCTACTTCCCCCACGCGGGGCTTGAACACCTTCCTTGATCAACGGTCCGTAACTTTTTCCTATTGTTCGAAATCCCTTCTCCCTCCTCCCTCCTCCACTCCATCCCTTACTGCTACTACTCCTGCTACTGCTGCCACTGTTCACTGCTACCACCTCGACTACTACTTTCTATTACTACGATTACGCCACTATTACTACTACTATCACCACTGCATTCTTATTGTGACTACGACTATCACTACTACGACTTCGACTACTACTACGACTACTATAATCATTATTCGTGCTACTACTACTAATGCTGCTACTACTACTACTACTACTACTAGTACTAGTACTACTACTACCACTGTACTACTACTACGACTACGACTACTACTACTACTACTACTGATGCTACTACTACTACTATTATTACAACCGCAACGAGTACTGTTACTACTACTTCTCCTACCTGTAATACTTCTACTACTACTACTACTACTACTACTACTACCACTACCACTACTACTACTACTACTACTACTACTACTACTACTACTACAAGTTTTCGTATTACTACGGCTATTATTGTTTATGTTATTGCCACCCGTGCTGCTGCTACTACTACGACTACTACGACTACTACGACTACTACTGCTACTACTACTACTACTACTACTACTACTACTACTACGACTACGACTACTACTACTACTACTACTACTACTACTACTACTACTAAAACTGCTATCGCTACATCTAGCACTACTACTACTACTACTACTACTACTACTACTACTGCTACTACTACTACTACTATTACTACTACTACTACTACAACTACTACTACTATGCCTAGTACTGTTATAACACTCCGTACATCTTACAAAGTACACCGTACATCCGTACATACGAGGTGCCGGGGGTACATATTATCCCAAAGATCCCCGAATCTCATTCTCCCCAGGGGTTCGTTATCAGGTGTGCACGGTTAGTCTGGCGCGGCCGTTGCGGCCGCGGTAGCGCGGATGAGGACTTACCAGCGCGCTTCGCAGGCCGCGTTGACGCGTGGGCACCTCAGCGCGAGTCGGTGACTCGGGTTGGCGCGGTACCATAGTTACGTCGACAATGGCGGACGCGATGATGACGATGTTAGCGGTGTTGTGACGATGGACGATGGTGACGATAACGGCGGCAAGGCCAATGACGGTGCACATGCTGATCACGCCGATGACGATGATGGTGTCCACGTGTCGGTGATGAGAGTTTTGCAAGGATTTCGACGTGTACGTGCGGCCGACGGGCGCGAGTGGCCCGCATTGTGTTCTTTGACACGGACCGTGTCACACCCCCAGACAGCGCGCAAGGGCGTTCGAATGCTTTCGACATGCGCGCGCGGGAAGCCCGCTTTGTCGAATTTCGTTGAAAATGTCGACGCACCTATGGTTTCTGAAGAATTTGCAAGAGCGCGCGCTTTTTCAGAAACCAAGTTGTAAAACAATTGTTTTCAGGTGTTCCCGGGATCCTCGATCTGGGAATCGTTTCGACATTTTGCATGTTCCATGAATTCCGGCATGCGCGCGCGACGATTCGCGCGTGTTCACTTCGCGATGCGTTTTGCAAGGGTTGTCGAAAACGGCAAATTTTCGATAATCCAGTGCGCGCGCAAGTTTTTATTTGGCGAGGATGAGAGGGGGGGTCGGGGTTGATAAGGGTCCTCCTTGTGATTGTATGTAGATTGTTTTCATATTTAAAATGTTCGATAGGGGCGCATTCGTACCTAACTTGCATTTCCTCAGAGGGCGATAATTCCGGGGAGGGGCACGGCGTAGCAATGCAAAGCAGTGAAAAGCAATGGGGTTCAAGGAAAAAACGATGCGAAGCAATGCGCTTCAATGCAAAAACAATGCGAATTCAAACCAACGAATGCAAAACGCGGCGTAACAATGCAAAACAATGCGGCCCGAAATGACGGGGTAAGACGAGCGACGGGGCGGCGACGGCGACAAAATAGCCGCCAGCTCCGGCCTGCATGCCCCGACGGTATGTGGCGACGAGGCCGCGACGAGGCGGCGTTGGGTCGGCGACAGCGATAATGTAGCCGCCAGCCCATCCTGCAGGCCGAATTCCTTAGAGAAAGCGTCGAAATTACGAATTGCCAATTGCAAACTCTGCTTGGGGAATTTGTGCGTGTACATATATATATATATATATATACACTGCGTATATGTCTATATATAGACAGAAATATAGATCGGTATATCGATCGGTAGACGCACACACACATAGATATTGACACATATATATATATACATCTATATGTGTTTATATCGATATACAGACATACGCACATTTATTTAGATATATACACATAGGTGTGTATATATATATATATATAGATGAATAGAGATACAGGTAGAGATGTACCGCTCATTATCCTTCTCTTCTACAGGGGTGGAAAGAAGGAGATTTCCCTCTCCCGCCCTTGGGGAAGGAGGAGCTGGAAGCCTTCACCGCCGTCGACGCGCAGTTGCTCGGCCCCCCTCGCCCCAGCGTGGACGTTGCGCGCGTGCTCTTGGACTCTGGTCGGCTGATGGCGCCCTCCGAGGCCCCCCAGGGTCGGAAGGGCAGCAGTAGGAGGAGGAGGGGGAGGAGGAGGAGGAGGGGGAGGAGGAGGAGCAGGAAGAGGGGGAGGAGGAGGAGGAGGAGGAGGAGGAGGAGGAGGAGATCGCAGCCCCAAAAAGGCTTAAACATGGTTGCCAATGCGAGCCCCAAACAGTTATCTCTTGCACCCTGGATGTGTAATCTTTCTTGTGCGCGTTATGTGGTGAAAGCTATGCGCGCTTCAAGCAGGTCGGAGCGATCCATGTGTGGTGAATGCTGTCTGGTGCAACGTGGTGCAAGCTATGTGTGGTGCAAGCTGCGTGTTGGAAGCTATGTGAGGGAAACTCACTGGCACGAGCTATGTGGTGTAAGAGTCGCGGTGTAGGCGACGTTTTGTAGGCCGTGATGCAAGCAATGTAGTGCAAGCGGCGCGCGAGGCGCCCACGAGGCCTCCACGGCCGCGCACGGGGCGGAATCCCGGCAGACCCAACCAGCGCACGGGGCGGCCACGAGGCACCCACGGTCATCCGCAAGGCGAAACCTCGGAAAATTTGCCCAGCACATTGGGCGCCCACGCGGCGCCCATAGGCGTCCAGTGCCTCTGGCACGATGGCGGATTACCGAAGGCCGTGCAGAATAATTTCGTTGAAGGCAATCATTGCCGCCATGGCCCATGAGGGAGAGCAGTTTGACAGTTGGCAGCAGAACAACATCAGAACGCCCGATGTACTGAATGCATATACTGTAGAATGTGAATTGTGAAGGGTAGCCCGGGATTGTAGATACTGTCAAGAGTGAATCCAGTGATTGGTTAGTCCATTGGTACTACCAGTCCATATCTATACTATCTGTGTGTGTATATGTATATGTACGTTATGCAAGCACCTATACATATACACAATCATGTATATATACACGCAAATGCATATACACATACACAAACACATATACACACATTCACCTGCATATGCGTATACATCCACACACGCATATACATATGCATACGCATACGTTAACGCTTACATTTACATATGCCTTTGAACATCCACATGCATATGTTCATATCTACACATATACATCTACATCTGCATACATGTATCCATACACGTATACGTACCATCCATGTTCATCTACATATGTGTGTGTCCATCAACATACACATTTACATACAGATGTGCACACGGTCATCTACATCAACATATGCATGTGCATATCCTTTTACATACCCGTATACATGTACACGTATATGCACAGGTGCATCTACATATACATATGCACATCCACATATGAGCTATATATCCATATGCATGGACATACACGCATTTACACACATACGCACACCTACATTCACACATATACGCTTACATGTGTATGTTCTCATACATTTACATGTACATCTACATGGACATGCAGGTATACACTTATACTATACACATATACTCATGCCATACACATGTACATATTCATGTACACATGCATGCATACATACACACACACATCTATATATACACATATATGTACACACATGCACATTATGCATATACATATGCAGGTCTACATTTGATACATGTATACGCATATACGTATGAATGAACACATGCACGTATACATGTACATGTACATGCATGCGTACATGTGAGAGAACGCGTTTCACGGGCGCGTGCCTTGGGAACATTCGGCGGCGCGTTCCGAACCGCGGGGTGGGCCCCCCCCACCACCACTCGTCGCAGTCGAGCAAAACCAGGGGGTCTCCCCTCCCTCCCAAACTCCTCTCTCCCGAACCCCCCCCCCCCCCGAACCCCCCCCCTCCTCTCAGGGGGGGGGTTTGAACCCCCCCCCGCGGCGGTGGCGGGCGGCGGCCAGCAGCGCCGATGGCGGGAACGCAGCGACGATGACCAGAGGCAGCCCAGGAGGGGGGGGGGGGGTTCAAAGCCCCCCTCTCCCCTGGCGCCGAGGGGGGGGGTTCAAACACTCCTTCCTGGCGCCGGCGCCGGCGCTGGCGGCGGCCAGCAGCGCCGGCGCTGGCGCCGGCGACGGCGGGGACGCAGCGACGATAACCACCACTACCACCACCACCACCACTACCACCACCACCGCCTCAACCCACCACTACCACCAACCCACCACAACCACCACCACCACCACAGCCACCTCCACCACAACCACCACCACCACAACTCATCACCACCACCACCACCACCACAAAACCCACCACTACCACCACCACACCACCACCACAATCTACCACGCCACCATCACCACCACCGCTACAACAACCACCACTACCAGCAGCACATCTCACCACCACCACAAACCACCACACCACCACCACCACCGCCACCACCACCACCAGCACCACCTCCACAAACCACCACCACCACCAACCCACCACAACCACCACCACCACAGCCACCACCACCACAACCACCAAACCACCACCACCACAACAACCCACCACCACCACCACCACAAACCACCACCACACTACCACCACACCACCACCACCCACCACCATAACACCACCACCACCCCAACAAATCACCACACCACCACCACCACAACCACCATTACCGCCACCACCACCACCGCCACCACCACCACCACCACCACAACCCACCACCACCACCACCACCACCACCGCCACCACCACAACCACCGTCCTCGTCGACGCTCCCCGCCGCCGCCGCCGGCCGCCGCAGGCGCCGGCGCTTGCCCAGAAAAGGAAATCGTCGTCCCCGCCGCCGCCGCCGCCAGCCGAGGAGAGGGAGAGAGGAAAAGTAGGGGATGGGGGGGGGCGGGGGGGGGGTTCGAACCCCTCCTCCGTCACGGGAGGGGGGAGACGGGCCGGGGGGTTCGAGCCCCCCCTTTCCCCTCCATCAAGGGGCGGGGGGGGGCCCGGTCCCCCCCCCCTTCCGAGCGACCACTGAACGCGCTCTTTCGTACATGTACATGCACGTGCGCACATACATTTACATACACATCTACCTATACATACGCAACAACACGTACATTTATGCACACACACACACACACCCCTATCTTTACACATACATGCAGGCAAACACATGTCTGTCTGTCTGTCTGTCTGTCTGTCTGTATGTGTGCATGTATGTGTGTGTATGTATGTATGTATGTATGTATGTATGTATGTATGTATGTATGTATGTATGTATGTATGTGTGCATGTATGTGCGCATATCTGTGTGCATGTCTGTCTGTATGCCTGCCTGTCTGTCTGTCTGTATGTCTGTTTGCATGTATGTATGCATGTATGTATGTATGTATGTAGGTATGTATGTATGTATGTATGTATGTTTGTATGTTTGTATGATTGTGTGTAGGTATGTATATATGTATGCATATTACACATACACACATCTCATGGCCTTCGGCCCCTCTCGCCCAGACGGTCCAGGAGGGCACACAGTCGCCGAACGATCGCTCCATACGCCCAGAATGGCCTCCAGACGACCCAAGGGGCTTCGGAAACACCCCAAAGAGGTCTCCAAGAGCAGATGGACCCAAAAGAGACAACATTCATATATGCGCATGTCGTGTTTGAATCATTTTGGTGTTCTCGCTGTTTCGGCTCTCCGACGCTCCAAGACGGCCCAAGAGGCCTCCAAGATCGCCCCAAGACGGCCCAATAGGCTCCCCAAGCGGGCCCAAGACGGCCCAAGAGGGCCGCAAGGCGGCCCAGGAGGCCCTCAAGACGGCCCAGGAGAGTCCGAAGAGGGCCCCAAGACAGGCTCAGGAAGGGGAGCGCGAAGTGTCATATCGAGCCTTCGCCCCGAGATTATTTTCGAGGCCGCCAGAAGGCCCCCAAACGGCCTCAAGACCCCCCCCCCGAGGAGACCCAAGCGAGGCCCTGAGGGATTTCAGAATTCCTTCCAGGAGGCACGCGTGAGGCATCCCAAGAGAACGTGGCATGCATCCAATCGGCCTCTGACCCACACCCGAGGCAAGGGCTAAGGAGGAGGAGTCATCGGGAGGACGACGAGGAGGAGGAGGAGGAGGAGGAGGAGGAGGAGGAGGGGGAGGAGGAGGAGGAGGAGGAGGAGGAGGAGAGGAGGAGCAGGAGGAGGAGGAGGAGGAAGAGGAGGAGGAGGAGAAGGAGAGGAGGAGGAGGAGGAGGAGAGGGAGGAGGAGGAGGAGGGGGAGGGGGAGGAAAGGAGGGAGGAGGTAGGACGAAAGGGGGAGGCCCGCGGCCATTGTGTGTGGCTGCCGCTGTTTCGCGTTCCCCAGGCCGCACCCCCTGCCGCGACGATCGGTCACGGGGGGGCGGCCTGGTGGAACGCGTTCTGACCACCTCCCTGAGTTCTGGGGCGCTGTCCCCCGCCAAGAAGGGCGGTCACGAGGACGGCGCACCTGTGAGCATCCCATAAGTATAGTCTTCTCAGACTGGGTGCCCACCAGAAACTAAGCGCGAAACTCCCGCGTGGTTTTGGTGTGTGTGCATATATGTATATGTATATGTATATGTATATGTATATGTATATGTATATGTATATGTATATATATGAATCATGGGATACACAGGCCGTTGAGTATGAGGGCGGCGCCATCACGAACATCTACTGAATCATGGAGGGAGTATCATCGCAACGATGCGTCGAGGCGGCTTACAAAGACGGGAGTGGCCAATACAAAATGCTGTAGTCGCGGCCAGAAGCGGGAACAGGAACCGGGCAATGAGCAGCATGGAGGGAGGAGGGAGGTGGGATACGGTAGGATGGGGAAGGGAGATGGGGCGGCTGGTTTAGCACTTTGCCTTTCTCTGTGCCTGACCTTCGCTGCACCCGTCCGCGGCATATTTTCTCTTATAGAACGCAACAAGCGCAGTCTTCATGTTTGGTCAACGTCTAAAACAATGGGTTCAGCGCGTCCTGGCGCCCCGCCAGGGGCGGGAGCGGGAGCGGGAGCTGGAGCCGGAGCAGAGGCGGGAGGACGAGGGCCGAGACAGGGAGCGTTTGGGAGGGAGGCGGGGAGGTAGGCCCCTTCGCTGCCCGGCAGACCATCCTCTTGGGCGCCCGGAGTGGGTACGGACAACATGGGTACGATGCCCAACAGCAAGTGCTGTCAAAGACCGACAGTGGCCGCTGTTGGGCAGGCGGCCTTCTCTCTCAAGTGGGCGAGGCCCTCGGCGGCATCGACAGCGCGTCCTCTTGCACATGAACAGGACATGCTGTCGGTCCTTGTGCCCATTCTTTCCGTACCCATTTCGATCGTCCCGAATCCTCGCCCTTCCACTTCCGTGCCACGGGCGGGTCTTGGTCTTGCCACGACGGCAGGAGGGAGGAGGAACAAGCAGGGCGGGAGGGGCAGGGATGAGGGATGGGGGCGGTGGGAGAGGGGGTGGAGAGGGGCATGGCGGTGAGGGGAGGGGAGGCGAGGTGAGAGGAGGGGAGGCGAGGGGACAGACGGTGGAATGGGAGGCGAGGTGGGCGGGGGGGGGACGGTGGGGACGGTGTGGAACGGGGGAGGAGGCGGGGGGAACAGTGCAGTAGCAGAGTGAAAAAGCGTGAGCTCATGAGAGGCGGCCGCAGCAGCATCAGCAGTGGTGCTTATCGACTGGGAGGAGGGGAGGGGGCTGCATAGCGAGAGGGGGCTGCGAGGTGCCAGCGGGCTTCTCGACGGCCAGCGGGTGAGCGCCCCTAGGAATTAATCCATCGAGAGAGAGAGGCTACTTCCACCACGCAGCCGCCACGAGCACACTTTGGGCCACGACTCTGGTGGATTTGTGTGTTCGCATCCCAGCCAGGTTTCCTTGCGCTCCGGTGGGGCAGAAGTAAGCCGATGCAGTGGGCTGGCACGACAGTGTATGCAGGGCGCGATGCACTCGCCGCTCATCTAGTTCTTGTTGCCCCAGGGTTAGGCTAGAAAGGCCGGGTGCGCTCATGAAGCGCCGAGGTCAGGCTGGGATGCCAGTCGCCGAGGGGTGGGTACCAAGTGGGCCCGAAGAACTCGGCTGGTGGTGGAAGTACTTCGACTCTCCTTCTGCGTGCATGCGCTCGGGGAGGACACCAGAGATCTGTGGGGCTCGCTTTCTCGACTCGTTGTTTTCTCGTTCGTGGTCTCGTCCCCTCCTCTCGGTCGCGTCGCGCCGTTCGCGCACCAGGGCAGCTGGGCAATTCCAGTCTCCCCTCTTTCTCGTATGTATTCTCTTCTCGCTGGGTCCCTGGGCCGTCTTGGGGATCTCGAGACTTTTAGGGACGTTTTGTGAACCCCCTTGGAGCCATGCTCGTGCTCTCTTTGGGGCGTCTTGGAGCCATATTCGGGGCTGTCTTGCGAGGCTCTTGGAAACATTTAGGCCCCCTTGAGGACTCTGGGCCGTCTTGGGGGTCTCTTGGGACCATACTGGCCCATCTTTCGCCGTCTTGAGGCCCTCTTGTCTTGGGCCGTCCTGAGGCGTCTTGGGTCCCTGGATAGAACATATGTTGGTGTCTTGGGGACGTCCTCAGGGCGCCTCTAGTCCACGTGGTGACGTCTTGGGGCCCTCTTGAGACCTCTTGGGCATTTTTTTTACCATCCAGAGGGAGCCCAGCGGCTTTGAGGCCTCTTGGACACATGTTGGGGGGCCAGTAGATGCGATGTTTGACAATCTTGCGCAATCTTGCAGCGTGTTGGAGCCGTCGTGGAGCGTCTGGAATCTAGCTGATCCCCTGGGCACCCTAGGCACCTTTGATCCCCAGTTCCCCAAACCCATCCAATATCTCCAGGGATGGCTTTCGGACGGGCAACGACCTCGCTCGCGGAGAACCCACCCAAGGTGTCGGCGAATATCAGTGCGCTCCGGGTGTGCAGAGCTGATGCCGGCAACCATCCCTGCCATGGGCGTTCGCCAACAGGATTTCAAATTGTGGGGTAAGGAGACACGTTGGCACGAAATTTACAATAACTGAATCGGTTCTCAGCCTGGCGACGTGCTGCCAGTTAGACTTGAGGGGGAATTCGGGGGCCCGACCGGTGTCCAATCGGCCCTTTGGCATCCGGTGTAAATCGCAAGTTGTAGCTGTCTTCTCGGCATGCTGGTCTGCTGTTGAGGTTTCGGACCGTGTCCAAGGCAAGATGACCAAGGCTCCCGAGGCAAGTAAGCGAAGAGGGGACTGTCTTGGCACTCAAGCTTGCACCCTTGTCTACGAAGCGTGACGTTGCAATGCTCGACCTGCTTGGCCGCTCTGTCTTTGTACCAGGGCAATGCAATACGTTCTCGAACATCGATTCGCGGACGACCGCGAACATGGCAGGGAGGCACCTCGTACAGCTGAACGAGCTTCCAGACGGGCACCGGAGCGACTTTCTGATTTCCAAATTTGCGGTCTCTGGAGTACATGGGACACTTGTTGCTTTGGCTGGTCTCGTATCCAGATTCGCCACCACCTGATCATGAGGAGCCTTCGAGCATTCAATCAGGATCTGACGGTACATTTCGAGGGATCTTCGTTGCCCTTGTGCATTCTATATCGTTGATTGATTCGGCTCACTCTTCTTGTCCGCACCGGCGCCCGTTGCGAATCTTCACATGATCCATGGGCGCGTCAGATGCATGGCGTGGCGAGGAGGGGCGGGTGGACGGAAGGAGACCAAGGAAAAACCAGGTGGGAAGAAAGGGTTAGGCTTAAGTCGGGCATGTCCCTCTACAGGGAGACTGTTCAAGCATACATGTTTTTATCCCATGTTTTTTTGATTATTTGGGAGTCTTTTTTGACGACTTTTTAGCCTGTAGGAGGACAGGCCCGACCTAAGGTTAGGCGAGGGAGGAGGGAGGAGCCGCATATCCCGTTGCATCTGCCGGTTGCTTTTTCTGGCAGCTCGGTGGTGGCCCCTGCTGCCCCGCCGAGCTCGCGAATTCGCGCGGCGCATCGCCTGTAGGCGCGTAGGGACTGCGCTCCAGGCGAGGCGCTCGCGGGAGGAAACAGTCGCGCGGCGATCAAAGCTCTGGGGAGCTAGCCGAGCCTCCCCCCTCCCCTCCTCCTCCTCCTCCTCAACTTCCCCTTCCTCCTCCCCTGCCCCCTCCCGCTGTCCTTCTTCCTTTCTCATTCCTCCCGTCTTGCTTTCCCTCCTCCCCTTCCCTTTCTCCCTCCTCCCGCCGAGGTCTTTGGGCCTCTCCTTTCTTCCATGCGACTCTCCTGTCGCTTTGCACTTCGCCCACTTCGCCCTCTCCCTCCTCCTCCTCCTCCTCCTCCTCCTCCTCCTCCTCCTCCTCTGTGCCCTTCTGCTCGTCCCCCCCCTCCCCCCTCACCGCAGGGGCCCCGTTCGCCGGAGCCGGGCGCCAGCTGCCGTCAGCGGATGCGCCCGGCCCTGGTCGCTGGCTTCAGGGGCAGCGATAGGTCACCACCCACCAAACCACTCCAACCCAACCCGAAGGCCTCAATTTGACCTCCATTTCCAGTGTGGGGGGGTCGGGGAACGTGGAGAAAACACGCATGGAACCCGTACCCCCCCAACCCGAAATTCGGGTCTTCGGGTTGGGTTGGGGTGGTCTGGTAGGTAGTCAACAGGGGGGGGATAGACATTAAGGGGGGGGTGCATCGGCCCCCAATCGCCCGTTGATCCCCGACAGGGACCCGATAGCCCCACCCCGCCTAGGAAGGTGCGGGTTCCCTGTCGGGGGCCTATCGCCGATCTATCGACGATGTATCGCCGATTCCAGGTCGATGCACCCCCCCCTACGCCTATCCCCCCTATCGTTGCCCCTCATGGCTTGGGGGGGGAGGGGAGTACATGCCCCCCCCCCCCCCCGCACCAACAGTCAACCCGCATAGTGAGGATGGGC